TGGTTAACTAGAGTAAGACTGAATATAAGCAATTATCTGTGTTATTCTACAAATAAAAGTTAGATTTGAAAAAAGAAAATTAAACAACAACTGCCCCAAGGTTTAAATGGCTAAATTGCCAGTATTGCCCCACCGACTGCTTCCTCCGCCCCTCCTCTTTCTGTTAGCATGGGTTTCTGCACCCACAGCCTTTCCACCCATCTTGGCTTAATTGCAAAAAGGATATAGAGTAAACTGGACAGACACTGAAAGATTAACAACTTAATCTGATGGACAGAATGTGTCTGCACGAATACCCAGCAAATCCAATTCTTGTTCACTCAGGGGTGGCGTGGACTGAGATAAATATATAAATAAATACATAATAAATATAAACTTGCCTCACTGTGGTTCACTCATGCTTCTTGTATTAGGTAAACATCTATATCAGAAGAAAATACACCGGAGCAGATTTATTTGTTATAAGAATAATGGAAACGTAATTCTTGCCTAAGAAACTGTATATTAGCAGCATGTATTTAACTATATAAAATCCCCATTTATTAGGGTTAATAACACAAAGCAGCACCCTCTTTGACTGCAATAACATTTCATATTGTAAGGTACACACTGCCTTCAGGTTATATTCTAAACATTTCATGTAGCACATCCATTAGCAAGTCCTACTGATTTTTCAGCATTAAAATAGAAAACCCCTCAGCTTGGTTTGATACGATTCCCAGATCAAAGTTCAAACTTTAGAGGAGGAACGCAGCATAGATAGGTTGCCAACGTTTGAGGTGAGCTTGGAGTGAGAATTAAAGGGATACTGCATCATTTAGTTTGAATACTACAGAACCCTGGGTGCAACATTTCTACAATCTGTGAAGGAGATGCTGTACCTCCCAACACCAGGAGAAACTTCGATCCACAAAGCTCATCACTGCAGAATATCCATGCATGGAGAATACAGTATAGAAGTAGCCTCATTATCTATGATCTCAATCCAGGCAGAGCCTTTTTAGTAATCTCAAAGCCTTAGCTGGAGATTTAGAATTAAAAAATGAAACCTAATTTTTTTTCTCTGCTAAAAAAAAATCTGTATGATTATCTCCCATAAATATCTACAACCCATATCTAGTAATATGCGTGCAGTCTATTAAGTAAAGTCTTAAATACATTTCATATTCTGTCCAATTGCTGTATCCCATTTATTGGGTTTTCAGAAGAAAGCGTGAAACCTACAAAGCTCTGATGCTGCTTTCATGACTAATTGATTACAATGATATCACCTCTACACCATGTTTCCTCACAATCTCCACAGTTACCCTTCATATGGTTTGAGCTGTACTGTGGAGGCAAAAAACACTATCGGTTATTTTATCAGCTTAAGGGACGAGGCTGCAGATGAGGGTATCTGTATGCAGCACTGTACATTGCTCTGCAGCATTTTGTGCAATAATTCTAACCAGGTGCAATCCAAAATGTGTGTTTTGAAATAATCACTGTAAGCTGATGACTCTAAAGCTCTAAAAACGACTTTTTTTTTTTTTCTTTTTTTTTGCAAGCCATCGTGAAGTTACTGTAGAATCATCCTGTAAACCCAATGAACTGCTGCCCGGGCTTGTTCTTCCACTGCCAGGACTGTTTGACGGCTTGCAAATTTAAATTACAGGCTGATTTTGTACAACTTTTTGTTTGGCCTTTTTTATTTCTGGATTTTTTATGTGCAAATATTCAGCTTTTTCTACTGTGCTTTTCATTGAGAAGCTTTTGAGTGAACCAAAGCTTAATGTACTACCACAACAGAATATCTAAGAATATATAAGTTGTTACACTTTTAAAAAGTTTGAGAACCATATTTCTAATCTGCAAGTAGAAAACTTCTGAACGATCTTTTTGTTGTTGTTGTTTTTTTACTTCACTAAGCTCCACTGCATGCCGTATTTTTCATTTTTCATTTGTTTAATGGAAATACTGAAGGTTCGATAAGAGTTAAATTAAAAATCTCAAGTGGGGGTGTAGTATACGGATGCCTGTCACAGATCTTTCCTGTTTAAGAAACATGTTCAATTTTGCAGCAAAATGAACACTCTTCATAAAAATAACCATGCCTCTAGATTGACAGGATACTCTGAAGATGTCATCACTACCATGGCTGCATATAACACGTTAACTTGCCAAGATAAATTGATTTTTTTAGATCAATACACCCAAGATAAAAAAAAATTCTAATCTTTCTATTACAGATACATTAGCAGGAGACAGAGGGCATCAAGTGGAGAAGAGAAAATTTGGGTTCTTGCTAATGGATTCTGTAATTACCCTGTAGCCTGGCAATTTTGATGGCTTTCCCTGCTGTATATGTTTAGAATGTGACACACTAGACTCTGCTGTAAACCAAGCAATAATCTGTGATTAACTACACTGATTTATTTCCAGTTTTAGGTAAAAAGACGTACCAAGAGAAAAAGGCTCAGTGATGTTCATAAAACACTGATTATTTCCTATTGTAAATGTGGCCGTTTAATAGTCTTACTAGAACCACATACAAGTGAAACAAGCTATTTACTCGCTGGCAGATTGTCATCGTTGATGGAGGGCAGCAGCATTGATTCTGTTTCTGCTGGTTCATCGCAAGCAGGCTGAAGCAGCACTTTCACTTAAATACTAATCACAGAGATGGAGAAGTGCGGGGCACCATATATCACAAGAGGACATGCATTAGGTCCAGAGAGATGGAGCTGCACATGCCAACCGAGAAATGGAAGTGGGGTGGAGCAGGAGGCTATGTGAGTCAGCAGCATGCCTGATAAGGGTGCATTCTTGGGGGCATGCAATAAAAATGGCCATGGCTCTTCCTTGTGAAAGATGATTGGATGGATCACAAAGAGGCTGAGGCTATGAGCAAAAGATTTAGAGTGCTTATTTATAATTAGCTGAATATTTGAAGATAAGCTGTAGGATCTACCATAAAACCCAGACCAAACAGGTCCTTAAAATAGCCCCCTAGACCATTCTTCATCTTCATCAAACATTTTGCCTGTGCAACAAAATCTCCATGTTAATATATTCACTTTTCTACACAGCAAATTTGGTTTTGTATTTATTATTTTTCGTTGATTGGCTTAAAAGTAAACCAGTTCATGTTTATCTCACTGAAAACAAGAAATAAATTTGATATTTGTATTGACTGAAATAAAATTTCAGTGCATTTGATTTTGATAACAAATTTAAAACATTTCTTCGTCTAACATGCTTCCTTGAACTGAAATGCTTATTGCATTTACCAGAGAAAGTGCTCTTTGATGACAGGCTTCTGTTCTTTCTAGCTGCACTCAGCCATTAGCAAGTATATGGTATAAACTACTACTAACCCTAAAATTTGATCTTATTGACATAAATTATCTTTTATTTCCATTATAGAAGCTACCACTGGGACCAAAACATTCAGTTTAAGCTGTTTAGCATTCCAGTATAGAAGGTACGACTGGGACTAAAATGTTCAGTTTAACCTGTTTAGCCTTCCATTAGAGAAGGTCTCACTGGGACCAAAATGTTCAGTTTAAGCTGTATAGCCTTCCAGTATAGAAGGTACCACTGGGATCAAAACATTCAGTTTAAGCTGTATAATTTTCCATTACAGAAGGTATCACTGGAACCAAAAGATTCAGTTTAAGCTGTATAGCTTTCCGTTTTAGAAGGTACCACTGGGACCAAAACATTCAGCTTAAGCTGTATAGTTTTCTATTATAAAAGGTACCACTAGGACCAAAAGGTTCAGTTTAAGCTGTATAGTTTTCCATTATAGAAGGTACCACTGGGACCAAAAGGTTCAGTTTAAGCTGTATAGCTTTCCATTATAGAAGGTACCACTGGGACAGAAAACATTCAGCTTAAGCTGCATAGTTTTCTATTGTAAAAAGGTACCACTGGGACCAAAAGGTTCAGTTTAAGCTGTATAGCTTTCCTTTATAGAAGGTATCACTGGGACCAAAACATTCAGCTTAAGTTGTATAGTTTTCTATTATAAAAGGTACCACTGGGACCAAAAGGTTCGGTTTAAGCTGTATAGTTTTCCATTATACAAGGTACCCCTGGGACCAAAACGTTCAATTTAAGCTGTATAACACTCCATTATAGAAGGTACCACTGGGACCAAAACGCTCAGCTTAAGCTGTACTATAGTTTTCCATTATAGAAGGTACCACTGGGACCAAAACATTCAATTTAGGCTATATAGACCTCCATTATAGAAGGTACCACTGTACCAAAACCCTCAGTTGAAGCTGTACTATAGTTTTCCATTATAGAAGGTACTGCTGAGACCAAAACATTCAATTTAGGCTATATAGCCCTCCATTATAGAAGGTACCACTGTACCAAAACCCTCAGTTGAAGCTGTACTATAGTTTTCCATTATAGAAGGTACGGCTGGGACCAAAACATTCAATTTAAGCTGTATAGCCCTCCATTATAGAAGGTACCACTAGGACCAAAACGTTCAATTTAAGCTGCATAGCCCTCCATTATAAAAGGTACCACTGGGACCAAAACGTACAATTTAAGCTGTATTGCCTTTGATGGCAAAACTATTGATAAAAAGGTTATCGTTTCCCTTGTTTGTTTTTTTTTTTGTTTTGTTTTTTTTTTGTTTTTTTATATATATAAATAATCCTAGCTGGATGTTTGTGTTTAACTGTGTCTCTTTTCTGTCTCTTAGAATTATTTTCAGATCACTATGCTCCTTTACAGATCTACCATCTGTTTTCCCAGTGTCTAGCCACTCGGAGCAGATGGTCACTCATGCCTTTTGTTTTGCTCACGGTTCTTCCTGTTTTAAATTGTAGATAGTCGTACATTTCCACAGGTGTCAGGTCTGCATTTGAATTGTACTGCTGAAAAATAAATTTGGACCTAAATAAATTCTGTACATGTGTATATAAATATGAGTTCTCTTCAAGGGTGCCTTGCAAACCTCTTGTATATAAACAAACTATCAGAAGGTATTCCATTCTTACCTTTCTCTTCTTGAAAGCCTGCCGTGCAAGGTAACCTCTACAAGCAGCTTGGAACAGGGTGAGATTACGCTTGGTGTGCTCATCCCGCTGTTCCTCCAGCTTAGCCAAAGTCCCAGCTCTAAAAAACAGCTGGAGCAAGACAAAAAAAAAATAAAACAGACATATTAGCACAGAGAAACCATTATGGAGAAGTAACTTAATGCTGACTAAGTTTAACCAAGACAAATTAGGAAGGAAGCACAGCAGCGAAGTTAAAACAAATTTAAGTTTGAAAAAAAAAATACACACTCAAGTTAAAGAATCAATAAAAAGAGGTGTAATCCACAGACTTCCAAGTGATAAATCCTCCTCCAAGTAATGAATCTGAGATTAAGTTATTATCTTCGATAATCAGCCCAGCCTGTTTCTAATCTAGGCCAAAGGTAAAATGCAGGTAAACAGACAGGCTGCATCCTAAGCTCCTCTACACTTTGAAGGATGAAATATTGCAAATGCATTAAAGATATGATGGCTAAAAAGCAGCCAACTTATTATCTTTAAGCACTCTACATATGTCCAATTGCTTTACAGATCAAATCAGTGTGTGGTCTGTTAAAAGCAACAACTGAGCGGCTTTAATAGAAAACTGAAAATATTTATGGAGGAGTGAGGTTTTTGAGTACATCAAAGGACGTTACGTCTCAATTTGCTTCAAGAGTTTGAGCAGAGATTTACCATTCATCATTAGATGCATGCAGGACTTTGTGAAATGCGGGTGGTTAAGCTGTTCGTCTACACATGGCTATCTCTGATGGCAGATTTTATCCTGAGCAGAGCTTTGAATCCACTGCTGGAAGGTTGTTAGGGGCTGCCATAATTGGCATGCATGTGAGACGGGTTGCTATGACGCCAATGAAATGCTTTGTGAATGGCCAACTGAGCTTTTTTTTTTCCACACTGTTGTGCCCAATGCAAGACTGCCTCCAAACCCTACCCCTCTTATGTGCTTTAAAAGAAGGGTCCATTTATTTTTATGTCATTGTTCCTTTTGATTTCAGTCTTAGCCGATTGCTGTTTTTCAGCTGATAGGATTAGACGTCAGTTTCTAAGCAATGTACTGGGAGTTTCTGTACTAGGGTCATGGTGCAAAAACAGTACGAAGCATTTGCGCTAATGTCCAGAAACAAAGGGGAGAATTAGTTTCCTGCCACCAGCGAGTGAAGAAGAGTCTCTTGGGTAGCTACTGACAGAAAAGGTGAGATGAAGGGACAGGGCTTGGCAGCACTCCATAAAAAGAACGGCAAACAAACCTCAAAGAGGGACAGGTGTAATGAAAGACACATTTCCCAAGAAAGCAAGTGTCATTCACACACACACAAAAAAAAATCTGTGCTGCAGCTTTGTTGTTAGGGTTTAAAGAGGAAAGAAACTGGCAGTGATTCAAAGCAAAGGTTTGCTTGGTAACATTAAAGCGGTTCGTTTCCTTACTCACCCTACTCAGACCCATGTGGTAGCTGCTCTTCTCCAGATCCAGGGACTCCAACAGCTCCTCCACAGCCTAGGTAAAGACATACATGAACAGAAACATCAATGTCTCCATGTTCGGATGCAGCAGGTCTAATCATAGATACCGCTACATTTCAGGGATCGACAGAAGGCCTAACCTTATAAATGAGTAGTTAAAGTCCGCTTTCTCAGCTCAAAAAATAAAGTCAGCGAGCATGGGAAAAACTTTGGCTCCTTAAAACCTTCAGAAACCAATTACAACCCATCCCTCTGAGTCCACCTGCTCCTGGCTTACTCACCATGACCCCCCCGTAATTCTTGGCCCCACTGCGACTTTGAGCACAGAGCTCCGACACACAAGCACACCATGAACCCAGTCTCAGAGTCTCTCTAGGCCCTGTCAGTCTACTTTCTCATGTGTACTGAAGTTGTATTGTTGCTTTTTCACTCTGTGCTTCAGCCTGCTGCCTGAAAGACTACATCTAGATTACACCAGGAGAGGTTTGCTGTGAGTACTAAGGGGCCTTTGTTCACCAGTGTTTCCACAGAAACTCGCCCCTCGCTCAAAAACACAGAGAAAAACAGAAGCCTTCTACCCCAACTCTTGTAGTTGGAGCTTTCTTTCATTATTCCGTCTGTAAAACAACCTCATTTATTTAAAAAGCTACATTCACTTTTACTTTTATTTTTTACTTTTGCTCATCTTTGTGACAAATGTTTAAGATTGTCAAAAAAAATATTAGACAAAAATAGCTTTAAAGACATTATTTTCCAAACAATTATTTTTATCTCCTAAAGAAAATAAGTAGCTTTCTAAACAAATTATATTTAGTCTACCCCCCCCCCAACAAGAAGTTGGCAACAAGAAGTTGGAAAAAAAAGATCTAAACACATCATCCCTCAAGCTAAGGAAAATAAAGAATAGATGAGAAAGGAAGCCATTGATATCTATCAGAGAAAGGGCTCACATGGTTAGACACATTAAACCAAATAAAGTAAGCAGAGACAGCTGTAAACCTTTCCATGAGTGAGAAGAATAAAACCCCAGCTGTTAAAAGACCAAATAGGTCATTAAGATTTACCATTATCATTATGATAATTTTGCAAAAACACAATAAAATGATGAGAGAAAATGGATGTCTGTGGAAGGTGTTGATCAACACTGCTAAAACAACATTTCAGGACATAAAAGTCTAACATGGTTGTGGTATCATTATTGCTTGGGGTTACCTACAATTTAGGACCTCTATAAGAAATGCTGTAATTAATGGAACCTTAGATTCTACCCGACCATAAAAGCCTAGACCATCAGGTCATGACCTTACTAGGGCTGCTAATCGAGTAATCTGTGGATTATTTTTTACGATCAATTGATTAATAATCACATAGCCAAAGGTTCCTTTAAGACGACTTTTTACTAAATTCAACCAAGTGAAACTAAAACTTTTTCACTTCTGGAGTTCTGGATCTTTGTTTATTTTTTTATCTTAAATTAAAAAATGTTTATATTTTTTTACAATTTTGGGGTAATTACTGCTCTGCGTGGGTTCCTTTGTAAACTAAAGGCATGATGGAGATAATCCAGTTATAATCCAGTTATTAATCGATTACGAAATTAGTTGAGGATTATTTAAATTCAATTATTCCAATTAATTGTTTCAGCCCTAGACCTTACCCTAAAGCATAATTAGGTGATTCAGCAAAAAAGAAAAAAGAAAATTAGCAAGTCCTCCTCTGAATAGGTTAAAGCAGCAAAATAAACACTAGACCCTAAATCAATGGAGATGCTGAGGTGTAATACAAAACATGCATTTGATGCTTAGAACTTTCAAATGTTTTTGAATTAAATCCATAGTGCAAAGAATGGACCAAAACCCTTTAAAATAAATATGAAAGGCTCATTGAGAGTTGTTGCAAACACCTTACGGCAGTTGCTGCTGTTAAGTTCGACAACAGCAGTTATATGAGCGATGGGGCTTGGATTTTTCCACACATGGCTACATTGATTGAGGAACCTTTCTTCCAATGGTAAATTAAATCACTTAAAATGTGCATTTTGGATGTACTCTGGTTATGTTTGTCTGGAATCAGAATTAGTCCAATGAGCTGAAATATTTATGTGAGGAGCATAAGCAGAAGAAAACTGTTACAGGGTAAATATACAGAAAAAAAATGCCTCTCGGGAAACCCTTAGTATTACAGTCGCATCTTGCAGAATTTTTCTAGCGTTGACTGCAATAAAACACTCCCCAAGCAACAATTTTAATCTCCCCTCTTTCACCAGCGAGATGCCGATGAGGTTAAGTTGATTGGGTTCTTGCTACGGCTCTGATGAACGCCCATTTCTGTGACTACTGGATGCTGACAAATCAGGGGGTAGAAGTAATGAAATCGTCTCTACACAACATCAATCTTCAGCAGGCTTGGCCACCAGCAGAGCTGCACATTTCAGACACCCACCCACTGCCCTTCTTTTGCTGCGACTTACTCGTTTCTCATCCTTTACGATGTAATTCCTGCCGTGCTTCTTGGTGAGGTGTGGGGCCAGCACATCAAAGCGCCGTCGGAACTCAGAAAATACCAGGTGATCAGGGTAACCTGTAAGAAGTCAGTGTTGGATAACATTATGCACTGCAAATATTTGTTGAGTACTGTGATCATTCAGAGATGACCTTCTGACAGGAAGAAAAAAAAACTCAGTTCCTTTTTTTCCCTCATCAATGCAGAAGGGTAAGGAGGCCTAGACTCCACTGCCTCTCACAATGGATTGGATTTAAGCAGCTTCTTCACCTTGCCTGTAGATCCGTAGGGCATCAAGCAGCTTGGATCCACGTATCTGAGCACGAAGCAGGGCCACATCTAGCTGCATTAAGCCAGGATCTCCGGTCTCCCCTTGAGCCTCAGAGTCCCCTCCTTTGAACAGAGATCCACTAAGAGCCCTTAGAGCGTCTGCTTTGGGCATTATGCAGTGAACAAAGTGAATCCTGGACCTCCGCAATATGTCAAGAAGGGCATCCTGTAGAAGACAGGGCAGGAAGAGGAACTCCTATTGACAACATTCAACAACTAATACACTAACATACATTAATTTAATATGCAGTGAAATAGCATACATAGCAAAATGGTTGTTGTTTTTGTATTTCATCATATTACGACCACAAACTTCACAGGATTTTTTTTTTTTAACTATTTTCCTTCTACATTTCTCAAGCTTAATACTTTGTGTACAATAAAGTTTGGACTATGTTTCTAACACTTGACAAGATTTGGTATTTCCAGCATTTTTGGTTATTCGTTTGCAAATTAGCTCAAGCTTAGATTGGATAAAGAGCATTCATGGCGTGAAAGTCTAGCCACTGATTCTCAATTGGCTTTAGGCCAGGCCTTTGACTAGGCCTTTTAAACATAATCATTGACCTAAACAAATATTAGAGATGTCTGTTTATAGGAGGGCTGCCTAATTTCACCAAAAATCTAAATTTCAATATTTTCGACCAATATTGCACCAACTACAAACAGGTAGATAAATCACCTTGAAAGTTTGCTTGTCCAGAGTCTGGTTCTTTTCTGTTGCGGTTGTATTGAAGTGCTTACTTCTCGCATGCATGTATTTGCATGCTACCTGCAACTCTATTTTCCCCTCTATTTGTCAGCATGCCCACTTTAAGTGTTTTACTCTCACCTTAAGAGCTGGAGTGAAAAAGTAGGTTTCTTTAATGTGATGTTACCAAAATTAAGTGTGTCTGTGATTCGAAATTGCACTTTGTTAAATCACGGTTATATTGCAAATGCAATTATTTGCCTAGAGCTAGTTTATAGTCTATGCACTGCTGGAAGGTGAAGTTCTGCCTCAGACTCGGGTAACAGCTCCGTATTTAGATGCTCTTTGCTTCCCATCAACTCTGACAGCTGTCTTTGTCCTTGTTTAATTGAAAGCATCTCCACTGCACACGCTTCCACCCCCATATTTTACCTTAGGAGTTATGCGTTCAGATTGATCTGCTGTCTCATTACTAAAAGAAAACTTGACTTTCAAGTTCTTGGTTAAAGTGGGACAAATATTGTATAGGTAAAAATCTTATGAAAAAAGGAACAGAACCATAAACATATTATTTCAACATTGTTGTAAAAACTGAACTGAACTGAACCACCTTAAACATAAACTGAATTCATTTAAACTAAAATAACCATTCAATTCAACATCCAACACCTAAAACCTTCAACTGATTACAGATGTGTTCATGTAGACCCTATGCATGCTTCTAAACATAAATTTCTCTGTAGTACATTGTCTAAAAATATAGATCTAATAGAGATTAAGTCCTCTGGCTTGAGGGGTTGGATGTTAAAGCAGCTGTAGAGCCCAAGTCTATAAAAACAGCCAATATATAATTTTCTCTAGCTGCAGCTCAACTCCTGGCCTTCATCTCAACACTTTTCTTTTAAACTGCATTTTGCTATTTACAAACGCTCTAAGGCCCAAACTAGATTCCAAAATAAATCCTAAACAAGGTTACAAATGTGGAGTATTTCATCCCTTTATACACCTTAAGCCCACTGGCTTGGCGTTAAAAGAGAGTTAGTACTGGAGAAAAACATTTCTGAGTGGATTATTGGTTCTCTCACCACTTGGAGCTTTATTTGGATACACAAGGACTTCTTCTTTATTGCAGCAACTCCTGTGCTGAAAGTCTTCCTCATGCTGGATGCCCTGCGTAGAGACATGTTGGAAACGCCCTCAAGACCGGCAACAGACCCGGACAGCACCACAGCACCACCTGCTCGGCTCGTGAACAAGGAGCTGATTATCTTCCTGTGGGAGGGACATTTTTTTTTTTTAAATCATCCACAGAAATAATATTGCATTAACATTTACATTAATCACCAACAGTGTCTGCCTGATGGAGTAACGCTTACTTTTGGGATTCCTGCAGAAGGCTTATTGCATTGGTAGAGGCAGGGTTCTGCTTGGCATAGTTCAACCATTCACGGGCATCATACTCCACCCAGTCAGTTCCATGACTGTGACCCAGCAGGAAGTGATTCTCCTTCTCACTCCTCAGAAGAAATGTGTGACCTGATGACAGTATAAAAGCAAGTGTTAGCCCAAAACACACAATAAAAGGTAACGGGGGGGGGCTTAATGTTTAAGGACTCCACAGCAATACTTTCAGCGTCTGCATGATGAGTTTATTATAACAGCCAGATTCATCACTTCTTGATTACTCTGCTATGTGCCATCTGTCGCCAACCTACACAGACATTACTAATACATGCATAATCACAGACAGTCTGGTCCCATTTTATGTGATTCAAGGGGGCAATTTTACAAGGCTTGCTCTGGAGCCAGCTCAGTGCTGGACAGCAGCCGATAACAGAACATACTGTTCCGTGAAATTATCATTGTGTAAATACAGAAATCATTTTAGAAACTAATAAATCAGGGAATAGCTGATGGTATCAGGATTTTAGTTTGTGCTGTGAATTTCATATCCTCACCTCCCCATGTTGCCTTTAATGTGGAAGCAATAAATGTCCCTGATCTGGACCACTTGGACTAGAAACTAATGACTAAGGGAAATTATGCATTCTCTGGCACCAAACTGTTGTACGTTGCCAACAAATCATTGTAACCCATTTATCATATATTAGAGTGAACTCTTCAGTCCAACTTTACCAGTAGCTTCAAGAGCCACTGACCTGCAACTTAAAGATACATTCCTATATCAGCATGCATGAATCAGCAGCAGAATCTGGTGATATATTAATAGTGATGTATCTGATATGGCCACTTAAAACGACCGGACCAAGAAGCTCTTCCCTCTGCCGTAGACTGAGCAGGCAAAAAGCAATACCATCTCACCACCATAAAAGCCACAGATGGCATAATGGTAGCAGTCGACCTGCTCCCTTCATCTCCTGTACAAAGTGTGCAACCTTCCTCTAAAGTGCAACCAAAGATTTTCCTTGAGTTTTCCCAGCCACATTTCCAGGAGCAACTTCTCTTGGATGTTTCACTGTGTGATTTTAGTGTGATGACAATCTGCTGTTGTTTGGTTCTGTGAGCGACTGAGCCGAAAGCCAGACAATTTGAACCATTTCCTGTTCTTTTTTTTAATCCTTCTCCCCCCTTTTTTCCTTCTCTCTTTCTTTTCTTTTGCCCATCAGTTGATTAAAATAGGCTTCCTGTTTGCTTTGGTTAGCCTTTTGTCTGAGCTGGGACATCTTTCTCATCCTCTCTGAAGCTTCATGCGGGTTGGTTAAACATGGCTGTCCTATTTCCTGTTAGCTCCTGTACCATCCTGTTAGCTGGGTACCCCTTTCCTCCCTCCCCTTGTGCAGTAGTAGTATTATTAAACTAAATAAATGTTTTAAACTAGAAATAAATTGTTTCATAATTTTTAGCTGTATAAAGGGTTGTTTTCTGTGGTTAATTTTTATTAGCCATCTTTTCTCTTAAAAAGTGAACTTTTTTTTTTTTTTTTTTTAGCTAAAACTATACAAAGAAATTTCTAGGGGTTTTGTTAATGATTAATGGCGACCACTTCAAAGTATAAATTGAAGTTGTTGATATTTACAGTGGTTAATTCAAACTTCCATACCTGATTTAAATATCCACATTTACTGGTTCATTAAAATAATTATTATTTATTGCTCATTCAGAATGTTCATTATGATCTACAAAGACTGGTAGTCATTAATCATCATTATCTAAAAAATATTTTCATTGTGAATACATTTTTATAACATGAGTAAATATATTAATTACTGTTTCAAAGTATAATTAGTACTGAGATCTAAAACCAACTCAGAATAACTGAGAGACATGTATTTATCACAGTTAACAAGTTTAACTTTCTTATAACAAGGACCCTCAAGGGGTTTATTTTTAAACTTAATGAGATAATACAAAATGCTTGATATTGTTTCTATGAACTTAGGTAACATGTTAAAGTTAAATATGACCAAATCAAGCTTTACAGAGACATATTGGCCACAAAAAGCTAAAAAATATATTCAAGCACAGTGATGGTTGTTTTACACAGGAAACTACTAAAGAGGAGAAAATATTAATGAAAACAATTTTAAAATATAACGGTGGTTGGTCATCCGTTTATTTCTGAAGTTAAAACTGGAATCTAGAGATAATGTTTAGATTTGCTGCGTTTCTATGCTCTGTGAGCAGAGCTGGTAACTTCTAACCAAGTAAGATTAGTTAACAATATTTGGCTACTCTATGCAGAAAAAAATTTAACAGAATGTACGTATTAAGTTTAAAAGCTAAATATAAAAATAAAACAAATATTTTAAATGTATTTAATTTGTAACTAGGTTAGTCATGTTGCATTATTTAGATTTTTTTTTTTTATTTTGCGAATTTTGCTTATTTTTTGTAAGATAAAATATTTTCTTGAAAAAAATAAGCTAGATAATATGTTTAGGGATTAATCAGTATTTGAGCAATCATTCCAATCATACTTTTTTACTCTTGAATATCTTTTTGGATTGATTTTTTTTTTATTTGAAGTTTGGTTTTCATAAGCTAAGAACGTTCCTTTGGCTATTTCACCTACTACTGTAATTTTCAGCATTAAATAAAAAAAAATATTCTGTAAATGTGTCACTTCCCCTACACCCCTGTACCTCTTTTTAAAATGCTTTGAAAAATGTATTTAAAAATAAACAAATGTTTGTGTCACTTCCCCTACACCCCTGTACCTCTTTTTAAAATGCTTTGAAAAATGTATTTAAAAATAAACAAATGTTCCCTTTGTGAGTGTTGTAAATTGTTGTTTAGAGTAACTAAACAACAATTTGGCATTACATTTGGCATGACACTCTAAACCCTTTATCTCAAGTAGAGTTACAGAGAAATACATTTCCCAACAAGATTTCTCTTCTTTTTTTTTCTTGCTGATCAAATTTTGTTCCATCTATAATCTATACAAAAAAGTAAATGAGAGTCCTTTCAAATCTCATGTTAGTTATGGTTAATGCTCTTCTGATTTGGGGAGAACAGGATAACCTCTGGTAACTCCACTGTTAATCTGAGCTGAATAAAATTTCTGAAAGTGAGGCCTTCAAATATTGTTCTAAAAGAACATCAATTAAACTATGTTTTAATTTATTTTCCTTCTTTTCCTTAATAGGCTTAATCTATTTTTTTTTGTTTTATAAAACAGGATAAGATACTTTCCACAGCCAGCTTTCCTACATACAAAAGGTTATATTCTGTCTATATTTGCTAAAAAGTAAATATTTGCATAATTTTCTTTGGCATCATTGGCTCCAAAACAGGAAATTGTATGCAAGCTGTTGGTATTTTGTCCCAACCTTTACTCTCTCCCTCAGCTGGTCCATAGTAGCTGAAGAGACGTCCTAAAAGTGTTTCAGGTGATCCTCCTGGCTGCAGCGCCTCTTCCTCCATCAGCCACAGAAGACCCCGTGCCTCGTCTGTTCGAACTGTACGCACCTATTACAAGGCAAAGTATTCACACATACACTTTAAAATCATCCTGCAGTAGTTGGATAATGCAATTTCCCCTTCACTTCTTTATTTTGATTATTTTTCTTTGACCTTCTTCACTTCTACAATGTACGTCTATAAAAAAAAAAAAACTCTTTCATTACACGAGTAAAGACAACCTTGCCACAAGGACGTTCCAGCTTCTTTTAGCCGTTTAATGGGAATGCATGGATGAATCAAGCATTTCTTTAAGCCTTTATCATTCATCTCCCTCATGGGAACTAAAAGAAAATATATATGATTTTCTCAGAGCTGGTTGCTGACCTCTGCAGTCAAGTTCTTAAACATAAGCAAACGTACTTTGCAGTATTTTTTTTCCCAGGCTGAGCTGGTGGTGAAAAACCAGATAATATTATCAGCAGTGAAAATTAAAATTTCTGAAACCCATTCACAGTCCGTGTCCTTCAGCTGCAGCTGCAATAATAGCATCATCCATTCAGCTTTTTATATTAAAAATGTAAATGTATCTCATAAAAACAGAGTAAACGAGGATTAAAATGAATACAATTAGGAATATATTTACCACTAGCAGAGAGTTGGGAGAAAAGACCTGCAGTGGCAGCGCTTTGAACAGAATGTGGAAGCTCTCTTTATGGGTAATCCAAGGAAAGATCATGCAGATTTAGCATATTTTACCTTATGCACTCTGCCTTACAAAGTTGCTTCAAACCCTTGAACTTTGAAACTGTAACGTTACAAACTAAACTTCATTGTATTTTACTGCGACTGCATATCATAGGCCACACAGAGTAGAAGGCAATTAACTGTGAAGTGGAATGAAAAATGACACAATACTATAATCTTTTATTACAAGCATTTGTATTCAGCTCCACTTATTTATGATTTTATAGCATAACCTTTCACTGCACTGGCAAATCTTGAGTGGTCTCTCTATATCAGCTAAACACATCTCAGTACAGAACTTTTGTTATCTTCGCAGCATCAGGGCAAGCATTTTAAAGGAACATGAATCTCACACCAGACCCTGATTTGGACTCTTTTATTCTACTACATAATCTCATCAGTTAATTTGTCTCTTGGATTAAGCTTCCCCAGATTTTGATGCCACTATTGTATTTCGTTATCCATAACCTGACTGTGCATTAAACTCCTGAACACCTGAGCTTTCTGTTGCATTTCATGGTATTTATGGTGTTAGTTGTTCACTAATGTTCTCTACCAACCCTCCTAGGCCTCCAAACAACAGCTGTAGATATTAAAAGATTAACCTACACACAGGTGGACTTACTTGATTTCTAAAATCAAGTGCAAGCATGTAGTTTCACACCCTGGAGTTTATTTAGGGATATTTAAGAGGTGAGAAGGATCATTTTCATGCATCATTTTCTTTATACAACTCCTTCCTGGAGTCATTAAAGATCAGTTTTAGACTGTGGATTTTGTTAAAGCCTAAAAAAACTCAAATGGAGTAGGGCTGCAACTAACGATTATTTTGCAAATCGATTAATCTGTCAATAATTTTTTAGATAAATCAATTAATAATCGGATAGCGAAAGGTTCCTTAAAGAAGAATCTTTTTACGAAATGAAACCAGGTGGAACTAAAACGTTTCCACTTGAGGAGTTCTGGATAGAGCATACTGACAGATGAAAAAGTTTTTCCATCTTAAATGCAAAAAGTTTACATATTCTATTTTGCACTTTTGGAATCATTACTGTACTAATAGGGTCACTCTGTCAGCTAAAGTCATGTTTCAGAGTCTCCACTTACCGATTAATCAATCACTAAATAAGTTGACGATTATTTCAATAATCGATTAATCACGGCTAATCTGATGAATTGTTTCAGCCCTAGAATGAAGCATAAATAAATGATACATTTTTGGTCAAGATAATCCAAAAAAAGACTAAATTTAACATCCATAACAGGTATCTAGGATAGTGGATGTGGTTAATTCCTGTAGCCACCCTAGAAACCTAGAGGTAAGCCAACAGAACCAAAAAAGTGCTTTAGTGTCTGTCAGGAGGCTACAATAAATACAGCGTTATCATCTGGGCACACTATACTGCTTGCAAATACACAGACAGTGTGTCAGTTTGAGGGAGACATATGACAAGCCATGAAACTGCCAATGAGTTGAACATTAAGGCAGTGATAACAGACATTTGAGCTATGACAGGATAAAATACAGCTATGATGAGGAAAAAAGCCTTTGATCAAAATTTCTTTTATTCAAAGCACCGGATCTTTAGAGCAGAGTTTTAAAAATCAGACTTTCAAAATGTCTTTAAAGTTACCATTTCCTTTTTTTCCCTTTTGGTGTGATGTGCTGTAGCTCACAGCTTCTGATGATGCTTAAATCAGAGCAGGGACCCATTTTAAAAAGCAAAGCACTCCAACAAAACATGCTGGAGTTATAGCAACCTGACCCACGGTTCTTTAAACTCTGCCATTTCTGTTTCCATGGTGCAGATCACAGGCTGCAGAGGCCAAACATCGATTTTCCTTTCTTGAAGTCAATTCTCTAACCTTTCTTTTTCTCGCTCCTATTGCCTCTTCCCTAACCTCTCCCAACCGGTAGTGTATACAATTGAGAAATAATTTTTTTAAAAACATAGATTTACTTTTGATTTAAGAAGGGCATCTGGTGAATATCATAAGAAAAACCTGTTTTCAAAAGGATTCAAAACCAAGCTGTTAGGCTTTTATCAGAATTATGCATTTAAAAAAAAAACAAGAAAAAGAGAAGTGCTATGGAAACTGGAAGTGCAGTGCAAAGAAAAAAAAAAATGGCTCTTTACTTACAATTGCATGGCTTGAGGTTTGGTCTATCACCGCCACTGAAAGGGAAGTGCTGGGTTCAGTGTCTTCTAAGGCGAGTTCAATGTTTTCCTGCAGGAAGACAGATGAGTAAACAAAGACTCAATAATAATGCAGCTAAACATCCAAAAAACACATGATCTAAGGAGAAGATAAATGGGTTTCCTCTTTTTAAACATGTCCGAGTTATTTTTTTAATACTTCAAGTCTTGTAGAAGGTTCAAACAAAGGTCAGCCTAATAACATGGGTGAAACCTCTCTATGAGCAGAAATGAACCAAACTAATCTGGAAAATATTTCTTTTCTACAAATAGATCATGAAGAAACGGCTTTTTTTTCTTGGTGTCTGTTTGGTTAAGGCTCTGATTCATAATCTAACAGGAAAAAGAGCAATTTTTACTGATTATTAGGGACAGGGAGGCTGGTTTTGTTATTCAAAAAATTCAAAGTAGTTGTAGGATAAAGCCTCAGGAACACTTCAAAAACAATCTAGAAAAAAGGTGAAAATTTCTTAAATTAGGTGTATTTAGCCTCAATTTGAGTAGGTAAATAACATAATTTGCCAATGCAATTTTCATTTTTACTCTTAAAATAAGATAATTAAATAATATGCACTTGAAATAAGACAATGCAATTATTTTTTCTGATTTTATTTATAAATTGTCTTGTTCCATTGGCAAAGTTTCTCAATTAACTTCTTATGTTACGAAAAAAATGCAGTTATTTTAAGAAAAAATTACTTATTTAGATTAACATTTTTTGTTGCTAAACACTAAAGCTTTCCATCCAATTAGTCCACCCAAGAGCAGAATCTATTTGAAGCTTCGGATTCTGTACTGTGGCATCAAATAAACTCTAAATAATTAAAATGACTTGATTCTAGAGTGTGAAACGTTCAATTGAATAAATCAATGAATGTTTGTGAAGCCGATTAATAAGTTCTAAATCTGGTCAGAACGTGATTTTAATCCTTCTCTATGATGCAATGAATGGATCCAAAAGGATAACTGAAACTAATTAGGGGGGAAGATTTAAATAAGAACGTACCATTATTTTGATTTTTAAAATCACCAAACATCACTGTAAAAAAAATCTTCTGCTTTGTGATCTGATCATCTAATGGTCAAATGCTTCAGATGAAGATAAGGATGGCCTAAAATTAGCTGCAAGGAGCATCTTCAGGTCTGCTGATGTTACTATGACTCTGCAGATACTTTAACTGCTGTTTAATAATAGTAACTGTAACAATAGTACAGAAATCATAAATGTCCAATCAGAAAATATGAGAGGTAACATTTTTCTTGCTTAGTATAAATCCAGATTCTGAAGCTAACCAAGAAAGAACAGGATGATAAAGAAATTTATTGAGTCCAGATTCAAAATGTGAGTATATGTTTATTTAAAACCTTTAAAAGTGCTTCACTTTTATATGAAACAGTTACTCTGAAGGGGAAAGCTTTACATGATGTTTTCTCAGTACAGGGTTCAAACAGGAAGATCATTCCTGGTGGACAACCTCAATTTCCTGCATTAGTAATCACAGGTTTTTCCAGAAGTAACCAACCGACGCAAACATAACGATTTAAAGGTCAGTAAAATATCATTGCCATGAACTGCCGTGACGTTTCTAAGATTGAAGAGATTTTTGAAATGGTTAAAATGTAATTTATTCTTGGCTCTATCAAACTAGCGTTTAGCTTCAGCCTCCAGGACAAAATAATCTGTTGCAGTTAAAGGTTATTCATGAACAAAATTATATTGCTTATTTTCTTTTATAGCCAAAGTAACTTGGAAAGGTGCTGAAAGGCACAATTGTTCTAAAAATGATTAGCTGCTAAAATTATAAAATGGGAATTTTACATGCTATGTAACTAAAATCTACACCAAGATAATATATTGCATTTCATTCAAGTATTTTTCCTAAAGGTAAACGGAAATGTAAGATAAAGAGGAAATTAATGAAATAAAATACCATAGCTGCTGCTGAGAGGGCTATAAAAACGGATGGAAATGTTCAATATTGTGTCTGTGACAGATGCTTTGGTACGGCCTAAATGTGAGCATGAAACAGACATTTGAGGAAACAGAAAGTTCCTCCCAACAGCTTCAGCTCTATTGCATTTCAGCAATAATTACCAAGCACACGACTGTTTTACGCTTTAACCTGCCCGTCACCCTCGTTTTTAACACTCACTGCTGACTTAAATGAGTCTGACCCAGTTTACGATGACAGGTTCACAGCTCCATATATTCTCAGGTTGTACTGGCAGCAACGCATTGCCATGCAATAATTAATTCAGCTGAAATCCCTATTCTACCAGGCAAATGACGTGGGTGGCAAAACAGGCTGGAAGTCCCAAGATCCGTGCTCACTGCATCTAAAGTAACGTTATCAGGATTCCTGGTTAGCTTCACTATCTTGTCAACGGAGGACAATTATTTTCAGGTTAGTGCAACAGCTTGAAAAGATGAATATATGTGTAAGGCGTAAAGTAAATCTCCAGCATTTTGTCCTTTAATAAATCCTTGAACATGAGTGTGGCCAGTAATAATGGTACGGTTCTGCTAGAATGAGCTCTGAGAAGGACAGAAGAAGAATGGTTCTTTCATCAGGAAGAAAACGCCACGGCTGTGCAGCTGGGCGTGTCTCTCATAGGCAGCTGTGAGTGACTTTACTTTGATCTCAGCAGAAGAGGTGAACACTGGCATCGCTAATGAGAAGGTCTAACACATGAACCACTTCGGGTTGTCACAGCTTGTGACAGGTGGGACGGCTAGCATTTCTGAAGTGTGAACACATTCACTATGGGAGCTGATATATATCGGGGAAACGGTGTTAGACAAGGTGGGCTGGGGTGGGGGGTGAGAAAGACAAGAAAGGAGACTGAGGATGTATATATGCACAGCACATTATCCCTCACGTCTCTACCTCTTTGTATCGTTCCAGCTCCTGAACAAAGGTGCGCTGGTAGAAGAGGCTCTGCAAGCGTTCTTGAGTGTAGTTGTGGCACAAGTCTTCAAAGGTTGCGCCGCTCTCGCGTTTAGCAAGCCTCGGGTTTTGAAAGCCCGGTGTGTCCACAATGAGCAGAGAGCACATGGAGTGCTGGCTGGATTTCAAGGCCCTTAAGCACACAGGGGGAAAAATACATATAAACATACACATGTACAGTAAACATAACCTTTATTGATTATATTGACTCTACGAAACCTTGAATGGCAGAACTGATCTTTAATGCTGAGGTTCTTTTTAATCAATGTGAAAAGAAGTTTATTTACAGCAACCTTTGATTGTACTAATTAAACCATTAAACACCATTTCAGTTTGCAGTTCAACAGTTTTTCCTTTATTATGCTCTGCAATGCACTTAATCTTTTCACCATGTTAAAATGATATGATGTTCTGTACAAAACTAAAGTTTGCTTGCTTTAGATAATTCACTTTGCTTCCCTTAGCTTCAAATAAAACTATATATGGCCAAATCTTCAATTACAGAAGAGTAGAAAATAAACACACTGAAGATGTAATAATTAATACTTATTTTTTTATACTTAAAGGATTCAAATGATGAAGCAATTTTAGCCCACTTTTCTTTGAATAATTGTTCTAATTTTGATACACTGGCAGATTTAAGTACAAAATTTGACTAGGCCCATACTAAGATCGTGAAGATGATCATCCCCAACTTGTGGCATCTAACACTTTTTGTGGAACACTGTTGACCCCGACTGTAGCTGAGCTTTTCTTAACTATTTCGCTCACTGTGCATATTTGCTATACAATTCTGGTTCCTTATCTACCCTATTTCCGGAGGCTAAAAGAAATGGAGGATCGCATCATATTTATACTCCTGAGAAATAGAAGCTCATCTTTCAAATTAAAATACATGTATAATAGTAATAATATTTTAGGGCTGCAAATAATGATTATTTAGTAAATCGATTAATATGTAGATTATTTTTTCAAAAAAACAAATAAAAAAAAAACAAAAAATTTTTTACAAAATCAAAGCTGGTGAAACTAAAATGGTTGCACTTGAGGAGTTCTGGATTGCACATATTGACAGAAGAAAAAAAAAAATTTTATCTTACATGCAAAATCTTTGCATATTGTTTTACAATTTTAATATAATTACTGCTTTAGGTGGGTTGTCTCTATACTCCAGTCCAGTTAACGATTAATTGATTACTAAACTAGTTGACGATAATTTCAATAAGCGATTAATCCGATAAATGGTTTCAGCCCCAATACATTATAATAATAAAAGTATATTTTACGATTACTTTTTTATGACACATTACCAACCAATTATGACAACAGGGATTTTCTTCTAAACAACATGTGGCTCTTGTCTCACTGAATAAGTGTGACTTAAATCAAAATTTCTGATTATTCGACTTCTGTTGGGTGGTTGTTTCATTATTTTAAGGCTTTTTGCACTTCAATTCTGCTGGAACTGTACATAGAAATAGGTTAGTGCAACCAAATATGTCCGCTGACCTCCATTACTAACCTGTTTATCAATGAAACTACGACTGCAAAGACTTCAGAGTAAAGCCCACACGCCATTGCTTCCAGACACTCCATCGCTGTGGATTTGGATCCTGATATAAAAGGCAGCCAGACAGAAATTATTGGTTATTTACAGTTTCTAATATCTTAACCATAACAAAACACAAGTAGCTCATCGGTGAAACGAGGAAATTAATTAGAGCCTGGCATTTGCTCCTAGGAAGAGGATTCAGCGTCATTAGAGACGAGCATTTTTTACCCAGAGGCTTTAGTATCCAAGCTGGGTTTAAAATTGTCTTTGTCAAGCTTTGACATTTTGGACTGGGGTGCTTTGGAAGTGGTCACATCTAACAGAGCTAACTCATGTTTGAGCCTAGCGGCAATGGCCACCTGTTAAGCTCACTTAATTCATTCTGCCATCAAACAGAATGGTGACTTTATGTTTAGTAGGGGGACATTTTCATGTCTGTGCACACACAAACTGGACAGCAGGTTTATGTGCAAGTGCAGGGACAGGGAAGGTGAGACTGAGGTCATTTCTGTCAATCCCCGCTGTGATGGACTTTTAACTGTGTCCTTATGCCCTTCAAAGTCTGTTGATGTAATGTCAGAGCACCTGCACGTGACAGAAATCAATGTGACGCAATTATAATTTCAAGGACAAAGAATGAAAAGGGATCCAAAATTGCTTGTCCCGACATACTGTGTGCACTCATCTGTCAATAGCCAGCGTGAATGTGTAGTATTCATTACTAAGATAAGCTTTACTTTTCTCCCATGCATGCAATTTCCCTTAGGTGATGAACAGACACATATGCGTGTGAGTGTGCGAGACGAAGTAGACTGAGAGTGACAAAGAGAAATAGAGTGGTGCGGGGGAATGAAAAGAGTATACTGGAAATGTATTCTGCTGAGTACCTGCATCTGCTGAGCCATTTTCCTCTGAAGCCTGGCGGATAGTGCCGGGTCTGGGCAGGGTGCCCTTGGCCTGATGCTTGAAGATGGAGGAGGAAAGCTCCTCCAGGGTGCAGCCCAGCAGGTAGGCTGCCTTCTGGGCCCACTCGTGACGTGCAAATTGTTTCCTGCCAGCTGAGAAGTGCATAAAAACGTCCATTAGACCTTCTGCAACCACGTTCCAGGTGACATTTGTGACAATCAGGTCTCTTAGAGAGCCTCTAACTAACAGTGTTACTCCCTTTAACGCTGTAGCATCTTTCCATATTAAAAACTTATTTTTTTAGTCATCCAAGGTAAACGGAGTGAAATTTAATTTCAGCATTAATACAACCATTATCTCTCAGATAACTGTTTATTCCATTGTCTTAAATGGGAAAGACGACTTAAAAACTGCAAACCTATTAATATAATAACAAACAGCTAAACTGAAAAGCCTTTAAAGAATCAGAGAAGCAGCCGACAAGCTTATGTTCACACTCTAGAGGAGCTGCAGAGATTCACACCTCAGGTTGGAGACAACTATTACGGAGGAGTGGTGAGAAGACAGATTAAAAGCTTGTTTACAATTTGTCACAAGCCATGCAGGAGAAGATGCATGGAACAAGGCACAGCACACTTCAGGTTTTCATTGGAAGAAAAAGAAAGAAGAAAACTGTTTTTTTGTCGAAATTAGCTAAAAACTAAAGGATGATTGAATATTTTTGCAAGGCATCTTAAAGTTGGCAGAGCTGATGAACTATTGTTTAGAGAAAACATGAAACTGTCATGAATAGAACATAAAGAGTTAACAAAAAAAGAACTGCACAGTGGGAATAAATGCAATTAGTAAAGAACACAATTAATTCACATGACAGGGGACTTCATTTGGGAAACACAAGCGTCTCTTTAATCTAGCAAAATAATGATAAGATCCAGACAGCGGTTCAAAGTTGAGTTATAATCCACCATGAACTGGTATCTTCTAAGACTTGGAGAGGGAAAAACTTTGGGGATTACAGAGAGAAAACAGTGTGCACTATCTGTTTCATCACTCCCACAGAACACTTGCGTGTCTGGTAATAGGAAGCCGAACGTTTGTAGAGTCAAGTAAAGACGTTTAAATATCTGCTTTGAATGACATGCAGCCCCATCAGGAATTACTTAAACCATCAAAAAGAAAAAAGGTTTGTCATCATAACGCTTTTTTACAAGGTCAAACGGGTAAAGAGTGAAGAGTTCCAACCGATCAGATTTATCCGTGTGTGCACATGTTCTACAACAATGGAGATTATTGGGTAAACCTTTCTCAATTAACACTTGTCAAATTTATGGATTGACGGTACAGTAAACACAGTAAAGCCAAGTTCTCTCATATGGCTCCTTGACAGCCATATGAGGGGACAGAGAGCACTGCTGCCCTCTAGTGTTACTTAGAGAGATTGCACTGCTGTAAAAGGCAATGCTTTGTAGTTGGCAGCTAATAGAAAAAATCAGCAAAGAAAAAAAACTTTTNGTGTTACTTAGAGAGATTGCACTGCTGTAAAAGGCAATGCTTTGTAGTTGGCAGCTAATAGAAAAAATCAGCAAAGAAAAAAAACTTTTTTTTTTCAGAAAGTGCATATTTTTTCTCATGATTCAAAATAACAGCTTTGTAATGTAAAATACGATCCACTAATTATCACTAAATTGCATGATTGTATAACACATCACCAAAATGTACAGGTTATTAAAAAGAAAATGGCTTTAACAAAAGCAGAACTTTCCCATACTTAAATGTCATGCCAATCACGAGGATATCAGTTAATTTCTGCATCCACAGACAATATCTGTTACTTGGAATGTTTTGAAATTAGCTCCTAATGATGCTGTAGTGCCATCAGAGAGATTGGTAGCCAGCTGGAGGGGATCACTGACAGTAATTGGGCAAACTAGTCTGCATAAGCGACAGCGCAGACCTAATGAAGGGTGAACAAATGTGTTAAAAAAAAAAAAACACACAATCTGGAGTAAATTCCTTGTCTTAGATGTCTGTCATTGTTTGGGTTAAAAGCTTTTCATTTTGATGAAAATCCTACTGAAAGCATGTTTTGCAAATTCTTAACATTCAACTTTTCACAGTAAAAATAACTTCATTCCATTAACCAGTTTTTGTCGTCTTTTATTTTACTAGGATTTTCTTTGACAGACCAAAATAAGAAGGAGAATGGTTCATACTTTCTTTTTTTTTTCCAACAATTAGAAAACCTGAAAAGTGGGCTGTGCCCCTTTTTATCAGTTATAGAACAAGGGCAAAAAGAAAGCCATTATCGAAATGAAACAATAAATCCAATTTAACATTTAGCCCAGGCAGTGTAAGGAATACAGGAAACATGTAGAAGATTAGATCAGGAACAAGATGCTATTTTTCTGCTAAACTACTCCAGACAAATTCTGCCAAAATGAGACTCTGAACATAGATCCCTATGGTGAAACATTATGGTGGCAGCATCATGCTGTGGGAATTGAACGACTTTTATAAACCGTGTATCGTATTTCTTTCTCTTCATAATTATGCACAACTAACCGAACAGCATTCAGTGAGAAATTCTGTCATCATGGATTTAATTTAGATCTGCACTGAAAAAAATAATTTCAAAATTAGGCTGATGTTAAAATTAATCACAATGCAATTCGTGTAATCATCTTGCACACAGAGTGAAAAAAACCTGATATATAGTCAAACAAAGAAGACATGTGGTCAGCAGTCAAACTGAAATGTGCTAAGTAAGCAACAGATATGCATCTTTGGTTATTTCCATGCATCAGTAGTATTAGCCTTATGCATAAATTTCCTTCTACAATTTGATTTTTTATTTAGAGGTGCAGATTTGTGCAGCTTAGTGTAATGATCTGTGCACAGTGCACCATCTCTTTCTAAGTGCAAATACATAATTCATGGAACTCTGTTACACATTTCTTGCATCACACAAGTGATGGTTTTAAAAAAAGGCAGCCTGAACATTGACACGTCACTTAAGAAGCTGCTGAGAAAAAGGTGAAAAGATTGTTTTTCTATGTTTTACAAATAGTTATTTTTGCTATGAATAATATCACAACTTATAAGTGATTCCCCTATGAAGGCCTTACTCTTTGTAGCTCCAGCGGCTCCCAGATGGTAGATGGCCCCAAGAACCAGCCAGAGGGCCCTCTGCTCATCCGTGCTGATCCCAAGGACCTTCAGGGCTACTTGCAGTTTGGAAAACTGCTGAGAGGCCCGCTGCTTATCCTCTGCCTAACAGATTTTTACAAAGATTACTTCAGCTCTGTAAGAGGTCAAAGTAATACCTTTAAAGGCCAATCTCTGCTTAAGGAGTAGCATTTACCTTGGTCTGTGGCAGGATTCCAAATGCATTGTTGTCAGCAAAGTGGTTGAGGTGCAGCTCAGTTCTGATGGGGAAGAAAACAGATAAAGGAATGAAAGCTGACACAATACCATTGATATGAACCATACAGAGCATAGCAAAATATATTTATATGCTTTGGACATTTACACTCTTTGTCCCATGCCACACAGAACCTTCCATATACGTTTGGTAGGTTGTATGTGACAGACAAAGTACCGCGTCTTTTTTAAGTGACATATTGAACCTCTTGAAGTCAACACTTTATACAACCAGTTTGTTTCTGAGGTCTTTGGGGGTACATCTCTAACACCTTATCCCAGTAATAAGTTGTACTTTTTCCATTTTTGCAAGATTAAGAAACACAGCTCTGTAAGCCATTTTAAACTTGTTGAAGTTGTGTTTCAAACTTTTCCTGCATTAAAGCTCACAGCTTTAACCCTGACTGTGTTTACTGAGATTTACACTTTGGTTATCCTTTTAATCGTTTTTAAAATAAATTTACTTTTCACAATTATGTACAGCTTTGATAAGGTCTGTCACAATAAACATTACATACAATAAACATAAATACAGTATTTTAATTGACTAAAGGGCAATGAAACTGACCTTAAAGCACCATCCACTCCAGCCATCAGGTAGTAAAACACATTAAAAGTGGACTCCCCCTCTGGTCTCCTTGTCAACCTCATTTTCTCTAAAAGCATCGTCTGTGAAGTCACAATAAAAACACAAATAATATTTAAAAAGTATTTAAAAAATGTATAACAATTTAGCAAAGGAAATGGGATTGAGGTTTCATTAAAGGTGTAGTGGAGGATGTTCTTTTTCTGGGTGGATCATTAAAATAAGTGGTCCTCCTAATTGTCAATCATTCTGATGATATGTTTATGTAAGGCTGTCCTACGTGCTAGTCCCCATTTTCACTTACCAGTGGTGAGTCTGACATACTGGAAAAATCGAAAATGTTTTTTTGGAGAGTAAGCTTAAATAAGCGATGCCAACGGCAACTTTTAAACAGAGCGTGCACAAAGAGAAATGGCCTCCTGCATGCTCTTGCACGCGTTTAATAGGTGTTCCCTCTCGGGAGAGGCTACAGGGCTCTGCATGTAATTTTTGTGGAGATTACATGCAAGTGGAGAAGGAGGGTCTTTTCAAAAATTTCCCGAAATCCTCCATTATACCTTTAAAAATACGTTTTGACAGTAAAATATCAGGATAATTTTTCAGTAATTTTTGGTTCTGCAGAAAAAAAAAAAAAAAAAAAAAAAAGGAGCTGGTAAGAAAAAAAAATAAAGAAAAAAGATAAACAAGCCTGTGGAGGCTGCAGAGGTGTTCAGTGTACCTGGATAGAGGCTGAGGTCACCAGGCCTGCCTGGTCAAAATCCAGGGAAACGATGTGGGAGAAGCGACTTGCATTCCCATTAAGGGACGTGGAAGCATTCCCAAAAGCCTCCAACACTGTATATACAGCCTGCCATTTCTCTGCTGTAATCAACCAAAGTGAAGGGTTGGTACTGGAAGAGCTCTTTGACATGAAGCATAATTTGAATGTTTCAAATTCGGCGTGCATCCTTTCAGACTTACTGGAGAATGTTTTGTTGGTGCTTCCAGCAATAGTAACGAGATACTGGAGGATATGCTGGCAGTTGGTGGTCTTGCCACTTCCACTCTTGCCAAGCAGGACAATGGACTGGTCCTGGCGAGTAGTAAGGAGGCTCCTATAGGCAGCCTGCGCCATGCTGTAAATATGAGGAGCAGTGTCCTCTTTTCTGCAGCCCTTAAACATCTGCATGACCTAAACAGAAAAGAAGATGAGGACAGAAATGGGTTAGGAGTTCTAGTCACATTAGCAAACATACTAAATTAACCTCAATGAAACAGATTCAGATGATGCATCCATGTATAAACTACGCTGCCTACCTTCTCAGAATACATAGAAGGGGCGCTAATTGGGTTAATGACCACCATGCTGGGTCCGGCGTGGGTGTGCATGAGGTTGCTGCCGTACCGCTGCCTCAGTGAATGCATCACGCTTGACTCGTTCAAATACTGCAGAGAGGCCAAGTCCTCCACTCGGTCAAACAGAGGTGGATTTGCCTAGAGTTCAAACACAGAGGCGGTCATACTCAAGAGCGTTTGCTTATGGATGAGGTTCAGAGCTCATGTAATGAAGTACCTTCTCTACATCATCTTCATCCACGTCCAATAACGATCCATCACTATCCAGGCAGATTTTTACCTTCCCCTCTGGCAGGCTGCCTTCCTCCGTTTTCAGGAGAGTGGCTACATCACCGCAAAGACCGAAATTAATTTATTGTGACACATGATCTGGATCTTCATTTACATGCATGATCACTTAATGCCGTTATACACAGCTTAATGCATGAGATCCAATAAAGCATAAAATGCAATTCATTTTAAAAACTACACTGAAATCCATTTGGTCTGATGTAATCAAGAGCATTCTGATTAACAGCAACATTTCTAAAAGCATTTTATGTGCTTCAAACACCCACATCTGTACTTTTCGCAATCAGATGTCGCCAAACGCTGCCCTGGCAAGGTGGGAGTTTAACATGTCCATGCATCATAACGATGCAGATTGTTTAAGAGTAAATAAATCATACAAACCCAAGGAAAATCCATCTTTGTGGACAAGCCATACTTTTTCTGTTTCATACCAGGCCTTCTCTGCTTTTAACTGCTCCTCTGTCTTCACCTGTTAAAGCAGAACAACAATTAGAGGGAGACATGTTTCTGAAAGCCAAGCTGAAATGTTTGAAACATCAAAACATAAAAACGCACCAAATACAATTTCTTTAGGTTTTGCAGGTTACAACAAGACTATATGGTGTCAGAGTTCATTGACATTAGCCGGTTCTAGTCAAAAAGCCAGTTATTTATTACCAAGAGGATCCAAATCAGTAAGATTGCACAAGTACAGACTAGAAACAGAGACGCACCAATAAATCGGTAGGTGGCTAGAATCTGGACATTTTCAATTCAACCAACATTGGCAGAAAGCTATAAAAAAATAAAACTTCATTTTATCCAATCACTTAGGGGCCAAAGGAGGCCTAGAGCAACAAGGTCACAATTAAAGTAACACTTTGGTATGGAAATTGTCATCATCTGTTTTCATCTTTAGCTGAATGTTTTCACATTTATTCAAAATAAAGACAGAGATGTTAAGAAGCTTGTCGAACTGTAAGCAATTTTAATGAGTCTGTTGTTGATTCAAGCTCCTGGAGGAAACACCACTTGCAGCATTAACAGAAAGGCAGAACATATTACAGCAAGAAGTGTGCCTGAATGGAAAACACACAGGTTGGACCATTAGTTAGTATCCCTGCCAGGCATGTACAACCTGGGCTGGCCACCTCCAGTCCCTTAGGAACCAGTGTCCTGCATGTTTTAGAACCATCTAAATAAAATTAATAACTCATTGAAGTAGACTATTGGGAGTATCTTGATAATAATACAGATATTAATTCAGCTGTCACCTCACTATGATCATTTCCACTCCATTGAGACTCTGCTTTCTTACATCATGCAGTAGCAGCACCCAGGTCCTTAGTAAAAATGCTAGAATGCTCCATCCTTACCCCTTTTTTTTCCCCCTGGAATAAAATTGCATTGGTATTTTTATTTATTTTTTTACCATTGTAAATAGAGTGGCATGATAACACCTCCAGAAAGCAACTCTGGTTGTTGGAAGGAATCCAGTAGTTGAAACCCTAATGTTGCTCTGTTTTTCCCCCAGTTAGTTTAGTCTTCATCTGTTACAGAACATGCTGGATTAACAAGCTTCTGCAGGCTTTTGAAATCTCAATTAAGGTCCAGGTTGACGTTCTCGTTTTAAAGCAGCTATCTGATTTTACTTTGCCAATGGTAATAAGATGATGTTTAAGCCACGTGATAATTGTCTTTTTATTTTAAAATGTTCAAACACAGCTTTAGGTTGTTGCTCTCACATACAGTGTGGCATCACTCATTTTTCAAATAGAAATGCCAAATGTATGGTAAATAAATTCTAACTTGTTTATATATATTATTTTAATCTAAGTCTCAAACAAAAATAGACCATAAATTCATATTTGGTGCATCTATAAACATAAATACACTTCTATAGCAGAATTCAGAGCATAGGCAGTTTCTTCCAGCAGGATTTGAAGATTTAGGGACCAATGATCTGTTATCCATTATTCCAAACATGACGTTTTGATGATTTAGCTTTAGAATTTTAAAGCACTCCAATCTTTAATATTTTTACAACTCAGTCAGGATAAATGTCACATCATCACTTATGAGGGATCTTAGACAACGGGATAAAAAAATATTTTCTCCACAAAGCCCAAAAATCACACGCAGACTTTGAAGCAGAAACCAGAACACATTTGGACTTCAAGAAGCTCAATTGTTGGGAGAAAAGTGCACAGAAAGCTGAAACACTAGAGGGGAATTTAGTTACGTAACAAAAAAGGAAAATATTTTGTCTTTCATCCCTTAGGGGTCTTCAACTCCAGTCCTAGAGGTCCGGTATCCCACACTTTTTAGATTTAGTCACAAAAAAATAAAAATCAGTTCATCTGACTGCTTACTGAAGAGGCATTTTAGCAATTTTATGCAGGTGCTTTGGACCAGTGACATATCTAAAAGTTCCAGAACATCAGATGTTGATGCCTGAAATTAAAGACCAACTGGTATGGGGGTTAGTATAGGACATAGTTAATATACACATGAAGTAAAATGTATTTTTATCTTTAAAATCTCCTATTTTTGCCAGATTCCAGTCCCATCAGGACACAAACACATGTTTTTGGAAATGATTTGGGGCTTTTTTAATAAAAGGCAGCATTGTCTCATCTTTTCATTACTCATTTTGCATTCAATGATATACTGTTTTATGTGAATTACATTCATGCCGTGAGGTGCAGAAAGCCAATTTAGGACAGTAGAGCTGCCCAGTCAGATTTGTTTATACTATTCAGGATGTTGAACATTGTCCAACTTCTTTTTCTTTTTTTTTTGCAGAAAGAATGTCTAAATATAGATCCAAAAGCATCCAGGCAGACATTTCATGGGGATATCAACTAATGAGTTCTAACTTTGAGAGAAGAAACTTGTACAAGGAGGGCTTTAGGGAAGTCCTGGGTGTCTAGGTGGTCAGACTGCTATACAAACTACTCTAACAGCTTCTCAAGAACTAAATCTATATGAGAAATCACTCTGAACAGGGTTTGCAATCAGCACCACAACCCGCTGTATGGTCAGACCTTGGTTGCAGCTGAGTGTGAAGCCTGAAGGATGGCCACAGGGTCCTCAACAAGGTTGGACTGGAGAAGGAAGGGATCATATCGGACAGTTAAATGTCAGCTTCAATTTAAATCTTCCAATAACTGACAAAGCAAAATCCACCACAGTAAAAAGTAAAAACTGGAGTATTGTAAACAATAAAAAAAAACACTTCAGCAAGACAAAAAAAAAATAAAATAGAAATGCAGTAGGAAGGCAAAACAACTATACCGAATTAGTGACTAAATCATGCAATTTTCCAGGGTGGCGTTTAAGTACAAAGTCATGTTTTATTCTCTCAATCAAAAGTATCTGTAACAGAGGCATGAGTTTTAAACCATTGAGTGCGAAACAGATCTCTTAATGTTAATACTGGCTGATTTTTCAGGTTCATCTGAGATGTATCGACTGGTCCGCCGCTGCAATCAGAACCACCTAGAGCTAAGGACCCTGATGATGATGGACTTGTTTTAAATAAGTTAAACCCTGCTCTTAAAGAGACTGGCTCACCGCTAGAGGGATAGAAAGAAATATTTAGGATGCCAGTAGTTTAAGTAATTAAGAGAAATATGAATAAAGTTAAAATGACAAATATTTTATATTGCACTCTGACAAACAACTACAGGTGCTTGGTTCTAGGTACTTAGAGATTCACTTCCATACAGAAAGCCCATATTCTTGTCTTCAGGTAACACAGAGTACATGTCAGATTAAATAATACTACTTCAGCGATACAGTAGCATCTAGGTGTTACTTTATTGTATGTCTCGTACCATGTCTGTTGGTTGTGCTGTTCTTTTTACATCTCTTTGCAGGTGATGAAGCAGACTGAAAATGTTTTATCATTATCTCCCTTTTATCTGCTCTTTCTTTTATCTTTCCTCTTTTTTTCTGTTTTTCCTCTTCTGTTCTACTTACATCTCAGCGTTCATATAATCTGTAAAATTCCCTGCATAATTATAATTTAGATGCATGAAACAAGCGGAAAACTATGGCAATAGCCGTACTGCTCCACTTGTGAAAGTAAAATCTGTTGGGCTCTTTTTGACATCAAGACAATTATTCTTATTGCCACATTGCCAGACAGGACACTGTTAAAAAAAAATAAATATGAGAAAATATTTTAAATATACAATAAGAGAAATCTACAAAAAGGAAGGTAAAACATTCATCACTTTCAGCATCTTTCCAAATGAACCAGATTATTCACTGTGTTTTCAGCACAAGCAGGGTAATGTCCTAAGAGAAAACAAATAGATGCATATCCCCCAGGCAAAACAAACTGGGTTATTAAATAAATAATAATATCATCTATAAGTTTGACTACTTTTTGGCTGTTTTTCCTTTTTAACCAATATATAAAGGAAAATAGTAAACGGAAATAGTAAATAGTAAAATGAAAGTAATAAACTTCATTACAGACCAAAAAACTTTATCATCAGGATTGCTTGTTTAGCCATGCAGAAAAAAATTATTTTGTCATAAATATTGGTTCTTTCTGACAGAAATGTTCTTGCGTATCAACAACCACACTATTTACTGAGCATGTATTTAATTTAAAAATAGACTTCTTGAATATCTATTACTACATGTTCAATTTTTAAATATAAATTTGTAAACTCATCCCTGAAAGTTTCAGCCTATTTGCTGCAGTTCCTTCTCCTGCAAACGTCGGCTCCTGCTTTTTCTACCAATTTCAAGATCTTTATTTTCCAGAAACTTTTAGTTTAGTTAGCTGAAAAATGTAACATGCACTTGTGTGATTTCCATTTGAAAGATTTATTCTTCGTTTGCGTCCAATTAGAGACCAGAGTTTGTAAGAGAAAATATCTTTTTCCTCCTCATGTATTATTCATGTTTTGCAGGAGCGCCGTCAGCTCGTCTATTGTTTTAAGTGACAGCTCTCACGTCAAAGGCATCCTTTCTATGAATCAGCCAGGTGCAGCTGCTCATTAAGGCCTGAAAGCACTCTCTTATCTACATACTTACATAACTCTTCTGCAAGTATTTGTTTAAAACAATGCAAATTAGAAAGGGAATCAATAATCTATCCTCATAATTCTAAAACATAAATCTGGTAATTTAAATAACTTAAAACATTGTGTGTGATTTGATGTTAAAAAATAACTTTAAACTAAAAATGTTTCATTTGAGATCCATTATTTCTTTTGTTTTTACATAAAAAAAAACAAACGACCTAAGAATTTAAGATTAATAAATCTTAAATATAGCTCAGACACCTATGATTAAACTGATTTTACTTCTTCCAGTGGGATATTACTATGATATATACGTAGAAATAAAACTATATCTAGATTCACAGACATAAATTACAATGAGCAGAATGTAACAGTGTTGAGTTTAGCCATATTGACACTTTCTTAAACCTGGTTAAGAACTCATGAATTAAGTAACCACCACCACCCTCCCTCCAGTGTAAGTGTCATTATAATTCAGGCCTCTGCATTTCCAGAAAACAGACAGAGGTCAAAGACCAGCAGGCAAATAGGCCACAGAGGGGTCAGCAGAGCAGAACGTGTTTAAACTCCAGCTCTCAATGCCCAGAGGAGTGCACTCAGCCCAAGGTTAAAGATGATGTACCTGAGAAACTCTGCAGCCTCTGGGCATCTAACCATTCAGACAGCAAACAAAACAGGAGCAATGCAGGATCCAGCAGCACACAAAAGAAAATAAGCAAAAGAAAGATGTGACTTTGAGAAAACAGAACATTGAAGCAAGAAGAAAAAATGAACATAAAAGGCTCATTGCCATAACATCCAATGTTAAATCAGCAAAGTGTAGTCACCTCACTGCAGTGCGAACTGAAATTCATCTGGCAAAATAGATGCAGCAAAAGAACAAATAATGATCTAAAAATGATTTATGTTGGGAATCAGTGTGCAGGGTCTGGAAAGCTATTAATGATCAAGGTTTTATAAATTCAACATTGGCATTAATTACATTACAAATCAAGATGGTTTAATTTTCTAATGTCTTTTGAACTGAAGTTTCTAGAATCTTTGTTTAAATGTCCCTTATCAGGCACTAAAGAAGCAACAGTCAGTCAAGAAAATGATTGTCTAATCCCAGTTCAATATTTCATCTTTCCCCAATTTCACATGGTAATGTTCTTTTAAATTAAACAGACAATAATTCTACATATTTATATATAGAGTAGGGATGCACGATATTGGGATTTTGGCCGATATCCAATATGCCGATATTTTAAAACTCGTGTAGCCGATAACCGATATCGATACCGATGTTAAAGCTGGACAAAAATAAGTAGTCATTGAAAATAGCAGTTTTGTTATCCATTTCTGACACTTTGAAAAATAATATACTCAAATATATTTTCATATGCTGATATCAAATTGATTTTTAAAAACGCAGTATCGATCTATTTTACTTTCAAAATCTCGTGAAATTTCATCGTTCTGTTACAAACTCTCGTGATATTTTGCAAATTCTTGTGAGATTTTGTTAGTAAAATAGATTGATACCGCGTCAATATATCAACATTTAAAAATATGGCAAAATTTCGTGAATTTTCGGGGGAATTCGTAGCATAACGATGACATATAGCAATATTTCATTAGTAAAAGAGATTGATATGGTGTTTTTAAATGGCAATATATCAGCATATGAAGATATTGTGATATTTTAATGTATCAATATTTTTTCCCTCGTCTTTAGAAGTTTTTAAGTCTGTAAAAAATAAGTTTTTGAGGAAGAAGAAGAATTAGTATTTTTTTATTTTTTTTTTTTAGACTTTATAAACTCAGAAGCTGATCAAATATCGGGTTAAATATCGGTGGGGTGGCCGATGTCCGATATTCAGTTTTAAGGCCGATACAGGCCGATACCGATAGGGGGCCGATTATATTTTGCATCCCTAATATAGAGCAATATAATCATTGTTGTAGTTTTATAAATGAACCAGCCGGGTGGCAATTACAATGAATAGATATTTTACAATAATTCTGTTCATATCCTTAATCATTACAGTCTTTCTGTGTATGGTGTGTTATTAGGCCACCCTGGGAATATTAAAACATTTTAACTCATGATATCCATGCATATTAAGTAGGTGTCTAAGCTTATTGTGAATGCGTTGTTTTAAACTTGGCAAAGATTATGGATTCATCTTGTGGACAATAAATGGCAAGAAATATGTATAGGAATCTATAGTGAGTAGTAGCCTTTGGCAGAGTAAAGGTATGGAGGGGACGTTTGAGAGGTAAAAGACAGTCGACATTTCCTTCACTCTGGGTGAGCATGCATCTGAGTAAAGGCAGTGGCCGAAAAACATTCCCGTTAACCATGCCAAGGCAAGGCAGAGGTCAGTTACATTATTGCCATCAAACATGAAGATCTTCCTGACACGGTGATGGTCTTCCTCAGACGGAATCAGCTCTGGAGCCTATAATCAATTGCAAATCCAAGGTTTATGGACCAAAACAAACTTAAACAACTATCTACTAGAAAAAGAAAACATCTTATAATAGAAGTAATAGAAATATAATGGAAATAAAATCTGATGAACTTTTAAAAGTGAGCACACCTTTGCAGTAGAGTTTTCCTTTCCAGCAGGGGATGGTTTAGCATTGGTCGCCAAAGGGGAAACCGTCTCTTTTACCTTACATCATTCATGCAAACCATTCACAGAAACACAAAGAGACACATCCGCACACAGAGACTAAGATGAAGAGATGACAGTAAAGATGATAATTATATTTTAAGGTGGGGAATCAGCTACCAGCGAGAACTGCTCCCATGTAATTTGGTGTTCTGGTTGATTCAATAAGGAAATGGAAATGGGAAAATGGCTGTTAAAGAAAACTGCCTCATTAGGTGGTGCAGTTAAGGAAAGAAATGGTTCACAGCTTTTATCTTTTTTGTATCAACAACAATTTGCTGCTAATTTCTTGAGGGTAATTAAAGAAATAAACAACTTTGCTGAAGTCGCAGATTGTCCATCCCAAGGAATTAGAGCAGAGTCTATCAGAATTAGACCTTTATTAATATTGAAGGGACTGGAAAGCATTTGCATTTTTCCATAACGTGCGCCTGTAATAAGCCTTCTTCGGAAATAAGATGTATAAAAGGAATTTTTTTAAATTACTGGGATATAAATAAAAGGGAGCCTTCTAAATTTAGACCTGGTCAACACAAAGACAAACAGAGTATCTTTTGCTAAACAGGCTACAAAAAAAATGCAACCACACAATTGCACAAAGCATCACTACACATGTTGAAACGCATATTCTTGGCCCTTAGGGGGTGCCGTGATTTTGCCACCTTATCAAATAAAACCACTGACAAATGAACCACGCGTGCAGACAACTCATGCAAGGTAAAGGCACAAACATGCAGGCATAGGTGCACATATGGAGGATAGAGCCATAAAGTCACCTTTATTTATTTACTTTCTTTTAAAGACAGGGCTTGCAACACTAAAACATGAAACCAGCACTTTAAAAGTTTTCTGGTTTAAAAAATGATTACATGCTCTCCCATAACACCAGATCCGTTAGAATGCACAGCCTAATTGACAAAATATTTTTCTAGGAGCCCCTTGTTATTGGGGCCTGAATTTATAGCCTACTGTTTCAGGTTACCATACTGGAACATTTACATAATACAAATAGAATAGAAATCAACTTTATTGTCATTACATTGTCACAAATCGAGGCGACAAAATTCACTCTCTGCACTTAACCCATCCCTTTCAGGAGCATTGGGCTGCCATTGATTGGCACCCGGGGAGCAGTGTGGGGTTAAGGGTCTTTGCTCAGAGACCAAGAGTGGCAGTCCGTGGACAGGTTGTGGGAGTGGAAGTGAAATACAACTTCGAAGTGCTGCTGTTATCATCTGACTAAATTCAGACATAAAGCTGCAAACAACATAGTTTCCATAGTGTGTCATAATTTTAAGTTTTACACAACATCCATGCTTCCAAGGCCCAAACATTTTTATTAACTATATTAACATAATGGGATGGTTAATGAATTGCTTTTGCAATTTAATCCATTTTCAAATCGCAGATGCACTTAGCTTTGGTCACATTACACACAACAGGAATACGACAATGACTTTCTCACTTCAGGCCCTTTAGGCAGCGTTAATACGCTTAAAGTGGGTTTGACGCCACATAGAAGGGAAGAATTGCAGCTACCACTTTTTAATGCAACAGTAAAAGTGGTTGGTTTGATATATCTTGAAGAATTCCTTTTACTGAGGCTAACTGGCCCACACCATGATTCCATCTGCACCAAACTTCACACTTGGGCATATACCATTTTTCTCCCAGCTGAAAACACCCAGAGTCATTTACTGGATTTTAAGACAGAATATCCTGATTATTACAGCACTGCATCAGGCTGAAACTGCTCAGCCATGGAAACCAATTTCATGACATTCTCTCACAGTTCCTGAGCTGATCTAAAGGCCATATAAAGTTCAGAGGTCTGTAGCTATTGACTTAGTAAAAAGTAGTTGACCTCTGCACCATATGCTCCAACATCCACTCTTTATTTTTGTTTTCCTGTAGCCTACCACTGCATGGTTAAGTTGCTGTTGCTCCGAATTGCTTTCACATACTTAGATTACCACTAACAATAAACTTATTTTCTCAAGATTGTTTGTAAAATCGGTCTGCATGTTGCATTTCTCCAAGAGCTGCTATGCTAGTGGGAGCTGATCCACTGGTGGAGCTTAACGTTCTTAAGACACTGTACAGTAGATGATGGTGGACTTTCAGAGAAGACATCCACTCTGCACTCTCTTACCATCTTTAACACCATCTACTGACAATCACTGCTGGTTCCTGACAATCCCCCTTTCTGGACCTGAGCTGGTCCTCACACACAGACACTGGCTGATTGTGAATTCATCAAAATGTAGCCTCAGGCTCCTGTTCCAATCTCTTCTTCCTTCACCTTTCTTGGGGTCAACAATAAGAACATCATCATAGGCAAAAAGAGATCTCCTGACTGCTGCAAGCCTTTAGCCTTCTGGACTTCATGATGCAACAGGAATGCACATGGCAGGGATGGTGAATTTGAAATTGGGAGTACAACCTTCTAGAAAAAAACCTACAACAAATGCAATTTACATAAATGTGGTGAACATCTGAACCTCTTCACTGCACAAACCAAAACATATGAAGGTAATTACATTTGCATGCATCATACACTGTAAACAGAAATAACACTGTATTTTTATTTCCTTCATGTGTGCTGTGCGTACAGGTTTCGTTACTTGAAGGATTGTGGGAATCCCTAAAGCTCCTAAGCGCCAGATACGATCATCATGAAGTCTCTATGCTGGGTGAACTATAATATGAAGCCTAGAGGCTCCTTTTCCTGCCTCCCTCTTTACTGCCAGCCCCATTCAGACAGTATCATGGTGAACGCCAACACACTTCTGCTTTGGCCTATGAGTTCTCACAGATTTGCTGTATTAGGATGGAGCCACTCTTCGGAATAAGGCCTGGTAGAGACTGTTATTCCTGCGGCAATTCAAGAAGTAAAACATCCCACAGAAGCTGCTGCTCATCATTACTAATGTAAGCCTGGGCTATGCACATCTGACATCCAATAAAGTGTTGCTCCTCCACAAAATCAAGGCCAAAGAACAACAAAAAACAACAACAACAAAATGTTTCTATTAGGTTATAGAACTAATACCCAAGAAATTATCAATAAACCTGAACAATGATAAAATACACTATGATTCTGGTTCTCTATTAAAACAATAAGCATTAAAATGACAAGAGCAACAAATTCTTCAAGGCTTTTCTTACCCATCTAAAGCAAACAGAACAAAGCCTTTTGGTCTGTTCTGGATGAAAGTGATGATAATGAGTCACAGCTCAGTGCTTACAGGCAGATTTAACCGGACAGACACCCAGAGTGCAGGCAGTGAGTACACACTGATGAAGCATTATGCATTGTTCATGCCCTCATCTTCTATTCATTCAGAGTGGCTTCATTATATCAGCGTTTTTTAGTCTGAGCTAAACACCAACTTGTATTTAAGTTTAAACATATCAAGTTAAAGAAATTTTGTTAAAGATTATGCAAACAACTTTGTGAAACACAAAAACAACAAGTTTGCTCAAGGTGCTGTTATAGGACACATCCTGTAAGGAATGGCTTGCTACTGTGTCGTTATTATAAGGCGTGCTGCACGGGGGAAACATGCACCTGTACACTCTGTACCTCTGGTTTCTTTACAGCAAACAGACGAGGCTTTGGGATGAAGCCAGCAGGAGGAGCCAGTGGATCGCTCTTTGGGAGAGGAATAAATCCTGGAGGTCTTGCCAGGAGATTTTGTTTGGGAGGTGCTGGGCTGGTCACTTTGGCGGGGATAAAACCAGGTGGAGGAGTCAATGGATTTTGTTTGGGTGCAGGGATGAAACCAGCAGGTGGTGCCAGAGGATTTGCTTTGGGAGGGGGTATAAAACCAGCAGGAGGACTGAGTGGGTTTGCCTTTGGGGGCACAGGGTTTGGAGTTGCACTAACAGAGGAAACCTCCTCTTGTTTTTCAACAGCTGGTTTTCTCTCCTCCTCCTCTATCTTTCCTTTCTCCTCCACCTCTTGCTGCTTGACCTCTTCTTTTGCATCCTCTTTGCGGTCCTGAGTGCGGGTGCGAGGTCGGTGCTCCTTGGTTCTGACTCTGCCCATTAAACTGGTCAATCCCGCAGATAGATCATCCTTCTCATCCCCGGCAGCTTTTGTTTTTGTTAGACTTGTACCTGGTGCAGGTGTAGAGGATGTGGGCTGGCTCTGCTCCTCTGTTCCAGTAGGAACCACCCGTCTAACAACTCTCCTTACAACACGTACCACCTTTTTGCTGCCAGTGCTTTCCTCCTGCTCAGGAGAGTCCGGTCCTCCCATGGCAGCGTTACTTTTGGACCCTTCAGCTGATGCTGCAGTCACTGGTGGACCACTAATTGTGTCTGGACCAGGATTAGTAGCTGCCTGAGGCTGACTATCAGACTGGACATAAACAGAGCAGGGTGGTTTAGATTACTTTCAGTTTGCCTGGAAGTTTTGGGCTTAGAGTGTTTGTGAGATTAATCTAAACAGAAACTTTATTTGCTCAAATGGCACAGCCTGAAAATTTGAAATGTAAGACCTAATGAAAAAGTTCAAATTGTATGTTTATTTAGTTGTGATGTCACTGCATAAATTGTCCCACCCCCCCAAAAAAAAGAACTCTACTTGCTAAGAAAAGATTAAAGAAATGCATTGCAGCATGCAAACAGAAGATCAATGATTTTAGTTTTTTAACAGATTGTTAAAAACAGGGAATGACCAGTCAGAAACTGAAGATTAGGAATACAACTAACGATTACTTTGCAAATCGATTAATCTGTCCATTATTTTTTTAATGAATCGGATAGCCAAAGGTTCTTTAAAGAAGAAGACTTTTGGATAGAACATATTGACTGACACAAAAGTTTTTTTTATGTTATATCTTATCTTCAAAATGTTTTATATATTTTTTTGACCATCTTGGTATAATTCCTGCTCTAAGCAGGTTCCTCTGTCAACTAAAGGCATGTTTTAAAGTCTCTACACTTCAGTTAATGATTAACCGATTACTAAATTAGTTGATGATTATTATAATAATCTATTAATCACGATTAATCCGATTAATTGTTTCAGCCCTACTGAAGATTAAACATTTTTCTGATCTTTACATTGTTAGGTCATGCTGATGAAGCGAGCTGAAGTACTGGTGAAAAGGAATCAATCATTTTGAAAAGTCCTAGTCTGCTTTATGTTGGCAGCCTTTTGAAAACCCAACAGTCAAACAATCATTTTATTCACACAGTGGCCGTTCAGTAATGTTATCCTGATTTCTATTATAAATTCCATAGAAATTTTGAATTAGCTTTAATACAGTTAAACTCCTCATCTGCAAAGTGTTGCAACATTAACTGCTTTTCCACAATAAGAATAGTTATTTATCAGTTAGAGTTCCAATTAAAGGATAAATAACTTGCCAAATATTTCTGCTAAAAGAGTTTATTTTCAAATATTAAATAGGAAATATCAAATACATATGTACAAATATTTTCTGGATTCTAAAAAAAGTCTCTGTTTGTTTGTGATTTTCTTTGTCTACTATCCCATAGCCTGAACAATTTTTTTTTTCACCTCAGTTATATTAAAGGAGAAGTCCAGTCAAATTCAGAATTCAAACTTCTGAAAGTCCTATAAATATAAAATTATTACATGCTGTTTAATAAATGCAAAGTTTTTTTAATTAACACTAATTTTCATTTCAATGTGCTTTACTGAAGACATCCATGTTTGTGAAAGAACACTACTGCCACCTACAGGTTTGTGACGTCACGGTGCGGTATCGGCTGTTGAGCAAGTCCCAATGCTGTATCGGGTGTTTGTCACAATGCACGATTATCCAAGTCATTTTGAAAACATTCTTCTTCCAAATTTTGGCTACATATTACTTTTTTTTTTTCCTCTGGCTAGAAATTTGATAGTAAATCCTCCCACTTCAAGTTGGCAATTCAATGATGAATCCGTACGTGTTGGATCATGAATCAGAAAGGTGAAAACATTTTTTTTTTCCACTTTTATCCGATGTATTGCAACATCCAACTGCCATGCACGTGGGCATTGGTAGTTTAACTATAGCTAATTTCAATGGTGAAGTCCTCTCAAAATCTTAAATAATTGTTGTTGATTGCAGATGCGTGTAGTAGTTCCCATTGATTTTGCTTGTGAAGCAGGAAGAATAGCGCTTGGCCTAACGCAGTGTGACGTCACTGCCAGAAGATGTCAGGAGTGAGATGTTACTATATTTGGGCATAAATTGCAGATCGTGACAAAAATTATTGTTTTTATTTTTTTACTGATAGATGCTAAATTCATTAAATCACTGCGAACGTATTGGTTTAAGGTATAGATAATGATCCATTGATTTTTCCTTGCTGACCAAACTTCTACTTTAAAGGATAGATTTGTTAGTTGGTTAATTTGCAATTCATCCAAAAAAATTGAAAAACAAGTTTGTTCTTTTCTAGAGTTGAGATACATGCATGGATATATACTGTATATAAATAACAGAGAAATCACAATGGTTAAAAATTGATAATACAAAATTATCCATTAGAAATCAGCTACAAAAAATGTATCAGTCGATCTCTACTATTTATCAAATCCAATGATGAGTCAAGTCTTAAGACAAACATGTGCTGTTGATCTTTCAATTATCAAATAACCCCTTAATCTGTTAGATGATTTAGATTATGGATTTAGAAATGTAAAAGTTCACACAATGTTACATGCTATAAGTTATGACAAAAAAAAATACATTTAAACCAGGAGCTGTATTCAATATAAAAAAGAAAAGCTTAAAAACGCGTCCAGGTTGACTAAATAAAGCTAATAAAACAAGACATTTTCACTCAAACAATGTGCATTACGTGAATAACTCTTCACAACACATGCAGCTAAATGTGAACTTACTTCAGGCTTGTTCTCAACTTTTGCCTAGATAAAATAAAACATTGAAAAAAATAGCCAACACACAAAAGAAAAAGATCAGACTACACAAACCAAAACTCTCCACACAAGAAGTGACATTTCTGTAACATTAACAGACAGCTTAATGAAAAACACCTTTTGCTCCCAGAAGGAAAAGCGTGATCTGTACGCCATGGTGACAGGCCAGAAGTCATGGATTAACACTGAAAGATGGAAAATAGAATCATGGAATGAGAGAAAAAATGAGAGGAAATCAGAAAAATAAAGGGTGGAGGATTACTCTGGAGTGATGGAGAAAAATAGTTAAGTGAAGGAATATCGTGGACTTCTGCACACAAGTTATTCGCCAACAGATTAAAGAGTGAAGCACTGAGGATAGAATAATAATATTCATGATTTCATCGCAGTAAATATATTAGATTTGTTCCATTAACACAGATGGAACAATCTGAGTAATCCATGACAGAGGAAACACAACCAAACATGTTTCCTAGAGTAAAATAAGGCAATTGTTATAAAACATGGTAGCATACACATAAAATTTCATTTAAGAGCTTGTTTAAAATAATACAAATTAAAAGCAGTAATGAGTTAAAACAGCTAGAATTTCACCATCTCAGGCCCTACAGTACTTTCCCCTGCTGCCCACTCCTATAAATAGTAGGTTAAGAAGCAAGGAGCCATTCTGAGACCCTTCCAGAGCCCTAATGGAAGTGCTAGAGCTCAGCTCTGAGATGATCGCCCCACTCATACAGCACACTCAATCTGCCGAGGGTTCAAACCCATTACCTCCTCACTGGGCCCGGTTAACCTTCTGATCTTCCCTCAGACACAGAAGCGGTCCAGTCACGCCTAAAGGTAGGGTAAGACCTGAGTCTGACGGCAGCACGCGTGCTCAAAGCCCCCACAGGGAGGGTGATCCTGAGGGTGGGGACAGAGCCGGGGCTGCAGAGCAAGGCTAGGGTTTGGGGAATAGAGGGCAGGGTGGGGGGGAGTAATGTGAGAAGATGGGGCCGGGGGATGGAAGAGGGACAGCTGCCGAAATACAGAGGGGCTATTAATAGGGTTTGCTAAACTACTTCCACTGCTGTATCTCACTGCCACGTTCCTCTCCTCGTGACAAAGGCTCAAAAATAAAGACCCGCTAATCAGGAAACGTCTAAACTTTTTTTTAACTTCTTAGAAACTTTTAGTGCAAACAGACAAAAAAAAAACACAAGGCAGCTAAACACACAAGTCTGACTAGCCAAATGTGTTCATATCTCTATGAGAAAATAACTTGGGTATTTTTATATCTTTGAATTTAATGACATGCAAGTTACTTTCTTTATAATACCACAAGAGGGGGCTATAAACCTCCAGTTTGCCCGCAGCTCTGAGTGAGCACTCTACTGACCCACATTCAAGACTGTAGTACATTCTTGCACCTAAAGCACAACACACACACATTTAAGCACGGTTCTGCTTTTTTATTCATTTTGCAAAAAGGTTTTTAAATTTAAATAGAAAATCTGCCTTTTCTAACTACTTTTATGTTGAAAGGTCATTGCTGTAAAACCAGTTGGGTAAAAATAAGTTTAGGTTGGAGTGACTTTGCATGGCAATCATCACCTCAGTGTGGAAAGCAAAAGAACGAAAACAAGGAAATGTAAAAAAACTGGTTATACTGGGCTTGGTGGAAACAATCCATTTAATGACATAGCAAACATAAAAGAAACATCAGTAATGAAGTGACCAAATCAAATGACAGTGACTGTTTTCAGGAGCACCGTAAAGCAGACATGAGAAAACTAATGGTTTACATTTTAATGTAAATATACAGCCAAGGATATTTAATGTAAAATTAAGGTTTTTAAAAAAACACAGAAAAAGGTATAAAAAGGGATTATTTCTCCAGTATTCCCAACAAATTTGAACGTTATCAATAAACGAGATCCAGTCAAACATGCAGCATTCCTGCTTTGTCTAGAACAGACCACTAATCCCCTGAGTCTGTTACTGGGACGCAGCAATGTGGACTGTTTGCCCACACATTGGTTGGAGCAGAGTAAAGATTAAAGACTGTACGGCACAGAAACCACTGATTCTAGCAGATAAATCCTTCCACACTGGAATCTCGTTAACCAGCTCATGAACCATCATAATAAGTTAAAAACTAACGTCAGGCTTTACTCTACGGACCTTTTTTTCCTTGTCATTTTATCACAAAAGGTGTCTTAGGTTAATCTCCAAGGGATAAAGTGCAAAAGCATTTGCCAGCATGGTAGGTTCCTGCAGGAAAGGAGTGCTAACCCAAAGAAACCTTCCCTGCTGGGGCAGCTATCTACTACTAAACATGCACACATTTACTAGTTTACATACCGGTACATCAAAAGTTTGGAGAACTGTTATCAAGTGGTCTATATTTTTTTATTTTTAACTCCTTTAATTCAATTAAGACTGTTTGAAATCTGTTTCACGTGACTTCCTCATAAAGCCCATGCAAGAAATGATTAGAGGGACACAGCACTGCAAAAATGAGTAAAACACTTCTTTAAAAAAGTGACTTTACCCTTAATTAGAGAGGGTATATAAGATGATCTGCCAATGGAATGAGTATGTTTAGCCTTAGAATAAGATAATTAGACATTATGCCTTGATATAAGTTGCAGTTGTTCATTATTATTTTAAATGTTAATTGTCTTGTTCCATTGGCAAAAAGTCACACTTACCAGCTCAATTCAAGAGAAAATGCACTTAATTTAAGAAAAATTGGCTTAATTAGATTGATATTTTTTCGGGTTTTTTTGCAGTGAGTACAAAGGGGTCTATTTAGAAGAATATGAAAAGTAAACAATGCTTGAAATAATTTTATAAGTTTTGTTGGCTACATCATTCTATATACATTTGCTTTATAGGATGTTTTCATTTTGTACAAAACTAAATTACAAAGGTGTGACTCAAGTTTAGACTATTATTGTATAGCATTTTACTATCCATGTGTTTTTCTTCTCATTCAAAACATTCCAGCCTTCAGCTTTAATCATAATAGGCCCAATCTTTTCCGCTGGTTGTCTCTTCTCATTAAAATGGAATCTAAAACCTTCACTGATTGAAAAGGTAATATCTAAAATGCTATTAGTGAGAAAATACATTTTCTGGCACATTTGGTGGAGAAACTAATACATGCAGTACATGCATAGCTCCTGATTGCTGACAAGGTTTTAAGCAAGCCTGTCAAAACAACATGCTTGCTAAACACCTACAACACACTCAGGAATGTCAACTATTTGTCGTACTGTATCAAGTATACTTTGAAAGTTCAGACAAAAAGTAAAGTAGCCATTTTAATTTACCGTTTAGTTACATAAAATTTCAACAGAATGGTAAGAAAAACATAGACCTTGTGTTTTAACATGTTTCATAAAGGAAATAATCTTATTCAAATAGACTCCACCCCTTTCTAATTCCTGTGTGAAGTCACTTCCTTTGTATTATTCACCAACTGACAATAGAGTGAATGCAACCTGACTGAGCAGGCTGGAGAGGAGATGACGGCATCGGCTACTTTCTGACTTCTCTCTTTTTCATTTTAAAGATGCCAGCTAATACACGGAGTGCCAGATCAAAATGTTTCACCGTGGAATATTTTTTTTTTTCTTTTAAAGTCACCCAATGGATAAAACCCTCACATGTTCAACCAAGCGTGCATGAAATCATTTATTTGGGTAAATAAACGGGATCAGCCACTGACCTTTTTAGATGATATGGGATTTATCTTGGGCTGGACAGATTTATTAAAATGAATATTCTCTATTTCAGTGGATTATTTTTCTTTTCACTATTGACAAATTTGTGTAAAAAGAGAACAAGGCATATGAAGCAGTCAAATACAAACCAAGGTTGTAATCATACCATGACGAGGCAAAAAAAAAAAGAAAGGAGGGTGCAGAGCGGGAGAGCAGGTGTTTAGCTGATACCAGTCCCGGCACTTTTTGTTCAGTAACAGGCTTATTATTATTGTACTCTCCCTGCAGTTACAGTGGTTGCTGGGCAACACTGATGACAAAGTCATTCCACAAAGTCAGTGCTCGCTTGCCACCATCGTCTGGTTGTAGCTCCGCGTCAACCAGAGGAACAACAGAGCATCATCAATCTTGCCATGTGGATAAGGCCGTTACTCACATTTCAATAAAACAAAAAGGAACACCACATGTTCAGGCCTTAGAAATTAAATTCTAGATTCAGAGCTCCACATCCAGAATCGTGTCCTATTATAACTCCCTATAAATAGGGCTGTTAGTTCTAGGTCACCCTCTAGCACTTTCTTTCTCCAATAAAGCCTGTCTCATAATCATCAAGACTGGCTGAATGTGGGACAACGCAAAACAGGAGGGAAAACCTCTCTGACAAAAGCAAACGAACGCCGTACGTATATTCAGTGATGTGCACGTTAAACTCACTGTTTTTAATCAGCGTAAGAGGAATCTATTCATAAAAATTCAATTGACTTTCTTGAGGCAACTCGCATAAGGCCAACACAGCCAAGAGAAACCTGTTCTCTGAGCTCTTCTGCCAGGACAGCAAACAACACTAAGCTCAAATTAAGGTGTTTGTTGTGCCAGCTAATAAGGAGTTTAACTTAATGGCCCTCTGCTTGCTCCCCACGATTACACTGGAGCAAAGAGCTCCGATTGGGCCGCCAGCCAAGTCTTACCCGACCATATGGCCATCGGCTGTGGTGGCGTTCAAGCCGTTGTTTCTTTCAGCGTCCCATTGTTTGGTCTCAAAGGGATGGGGGGTGGCAGGGGGATTATATGTACACCCGAACACATTCTCTCTTTCAAAGCAGAGCCCTACACACACACACACACACACACACACATAGACAGAGACACTGCCCCAAACAAGCGAGCACAAAATCACATTACTGGTGTCATAACAGTTATACTCATTATCTAGACATAAGGAAAAAAAAAAACAGATGATGGAGTTAGGATTTTCTCTCCTAAATCCTGATAACTTTCCAAAAAAAAACAACCTGAAAAAAATCCAAAATAAAGACATATAAAAACACAATTTCTTGAACAGGAGGATATCTTTGAATGTTTTGTCTTCTTAGCTTTTAATTCATTAGCTCAGTACCTCGGGGCTTCAGGGCTGAAATATGTTTCAAAATAAGCCCTGAGATGTTTTGGTGTATGTCAGGGCTGAAATCAGCGAGAAAAAAAAAAAAAAAACATTTTCCTAAAACAATAAGAGCCAGCCTGTAGATTTAAAAATGACATTGCAAAAAAAATCAAGATCAAGTAATTTCAATTGGTCTGCAAATGCATGACAACTGTGTAGCAGTCCATCACTTCAGGGACATCCTGTGCAGTATGAAGCCTTTGTTTAAGGCCAATTTATACTTCTGAGGCATAGCCATTGCAACCGTAAAATCGGTCTCTGTGCACGAACACGCCCCCGCGCAGAGGCTCTGCAATCGTCATTGTGGACCTCAAAAAAATCCTGACTACGCGTCAGAAGGTCGCAAACCCGCGCAGACCTCAAGCGGAAGTGCGCAGACAAAAAGTAGCTGTGATTGGTCCTAGGTATGCCTTTCCAGCTGTCTGTATGGTCGTCCTTCTCGAACACCGAAAGGTTGATCGAGGAGGTTCGGAAGTACAACCACTTATACGATGCCTCAGACATGTTTTGGAAAATAAACACTCCCGCCAAAACCGTCGAAGAAGTTCTCATGACCATCCACCGAAGTTCTCGCGAGTTCTCAAATAGACTCACCCTAGAGCTTTGGCGGGAAACTGCTGTGCGTCTCTAGAAATTGCAGACCGACGTTGCAGAAGCATACCAGCAAAACTGGTTTGCGACCAGAAGTAAGCGACATTTGATGTGTGCGGTTGCAGAACTATAATCCGCCCTTAAAACTCCCCCGAAATAGGGGGTAAG